GTTACAGGAGACAAGAGAAGCAAAAACCAGAGGAAGGAGTTCTACAAGGGAGGGAATAGGGGGATATACGTGGAGACTACCCAACAATGCATAATATTTTGCAGTCAAGGAGGGTTTAAGGGTGAAAGCCAAGAAAAAAGGGGCAGGATCTGGAAATGCAAGATTTGGGAGGTGGGAGGTTTGCCCCCCCCCCTTGCTACCCCCTTTCAGGAATTAAGGACATGCTGCATGCTGACGATCTACTTACCTATTGTCTGTTCAGTCAACTGAGGATTGTCTTTCATTTCCAACTGCAAAAAAAAAAAAAAAAAAAAAAAAAAAAAAAATAGACAAAATATTTTTCATTTAGTATCTTAGTCCAGTAAGAATACCAGTACATAATGTTGAAGAGATAAGAGAAACAGGTGTCTGGTAGCATAAATGAAAAATGGCTAAAAACAACATCAGCACATTAAATCAAGATTTGTTTTTTCACAAGTGTATATTAACTCTCAATATTACTAAAAACCAGAAGAATTTTGGACCCATGTGTAGAGAAAATGTGTGGTGATTTAAAGAGCCCTGAAATTGACCACAAAAATTGTCTCTCAAATCCGTATGGTTGACCAAAATTTGGTCAACCATACGGATTTGAGAGACAATTTTTGTGGTCAATTTCAGGGCTCTTTAAATTTAATGTAAGGTAACTGGTTCTCTTAGACCTAGGCCAAACGTCGAACTTTTCATTAGATGAGCCAAACTCTAATTTGGGTCAACCTTAGTTAAGTTAAGATCATCTGCTGGGTCAGGCGTCAAACTTTGGATGCATCGAACCAATCAACTGAATCAGATCAGTAACAAATTTTCTCCCAAACAAGGCTAAATATACATTAAACAAATGTTTAATTTATTAGTTTAGTTCATTGCATGTGAAGATCGACGTTTGTCCCGAACGAAATGAATCTTCAGATGTGCTATCCATCCGAAGCAGACGAATAGAACGAACTTAACTGAGCCAAACGTCGAACTTCTCATGAACTTAATTCACTAAGTTTGGTTCATCTCATGAAAAGTTTGATGTTTGGCTAGGCCTTACCATGTGTTTAGGTATGGGAGGTAGACATCCGTCCTCACATCTACAACTGCCACCAAATTCTTCTGGGAGGTCCTCCGGATTGAAGTATTCACAAAGTTTATGCAGCTCTGAGCTCTTAAGTACAACACATTTAGCCCTTGTTTTAGGGTCTAAGAAAATCTTGGCAATTTTCCACATCACAGGAAACACCCTGAAATCATGTGGAAAATACAAATGAAATGGAAGACAGTTGGGAGAAAAGATGAAGTCAGCAAATCTCATTTATCATATCAGAACAATTTTTATGTACCCTAACACTTAAAGGGTTAAAGCGCATGACAAAAATGTTTCAAGTTTAAAGTTCAAGTTTATTAAAAACACTTTGGATACATATCATAATTGATCCTTGCCAGCAAAATAGCTTAGCTAATTGAGGCAGGAAGGAAAAGTGATATAAAAAAAATTACAATAACAGGGTTGAAACATAACAATAAAGAAAAACAGAAACACGAACATCAGCATATTGAAATAACAAGACTAAATATGTCAATAAAGTGCACACGCCAACATGAGTATCCTCCTGTATCAAAATATCCACAAAGATTGAAGTTCTTTCATTATTGAATCATTCTGATGTTGTAGTGCTTTAACTTTTTAGTTGTTCACTTTTCCAGACACAATGATAAGATTATTTCAACCCAACGTTCACTTGCTCAGAATGCACATCCACTCGCTCAGAGTGTACCTGAGCCACACCTCTCTCTAAGATGGATGCCATTATCTCAGTGTCTATCTTCACAGGTACATTAAAGGGGTGGAGCCATGGAGCTGTGTCCCCTTTAGTCATGAATTTTTTTTTTGCCAAAACTTGTTTCAAAATCAGTCTTTAGGAGTTCCTTCATTTCAAGACATGAAGGTTCCAGAGTTCTGTAACCATACTGTCAATGGTACATGTCCTTCCATGAACTTAAATTTTTCAGTGGAGATGGGAGAATGGAAGGGTTTAACAGAGTTTATGTACATCCCCAAGGCCTTCTGCTCCCCTCTTACTAAAATTCTGGATCCGTCCTCGGCAATAGAAAGATCTTCACGAGCCTAAGAACGACAGGTTGAATTCTAAAGTGGTGTCCACTTTAGGAAGGGTATCATTATTATTTTATGAAAACAGGAATTCATGAATATTTATCAAAAGTTTATTTTATTTTTATGAATATTAAAAAAGGGATTTTATGGGCAATCACTTACCAGGGGGTATTGATAATAAATATCTGTAAATTGAAAAAAAAATGAAAATAACAAATAAACAAACAGGAAAATAAAAGAAAACCAACAACAAGTAATAAAGGAAATGGAGCATTTTACAAAACAAAAAGATGAACGAAGAAACATCTGATTTCCTTTATCATTTATCACCGGTAAGTTAACTTCCTGTCTTGCACTCAGGGGGGCTAATGTCCTCAGTTTAGCTCTTAAAACTATGTTTGAACTTGTCAACATGTCATTATGCTGAACTCGCCGCATCAAAATTGCATTGATGAACAACAACAACAAACCTTTCCCATTCTTTCAGGATAGTAATCTTGATCCAGCTTAGCCAATCTCTTGAAAGGGGTCAACGCTTTCCTGTATTGATGAACAACAAATTGGGGTATTTTTGGTTGAGTCTTGTTGACAAAAAAAAATGATATAGCAACCACACCCTTCTCTAACCCAATATCTCTGCACCTAGGATGTGCAGGATGTATTCTAAAAACTGACTTTACCTTAACAACATAGTGGCTCCAGCCATATCATGAATGTGTACCATTGTTTCTATCGGTTTTCCCTAAAGCAGAAATAAGTTAACTTAAACATTAAATAGGAAATCAACTTATAACTAGTAGTAATCAGGGTTGTCAGAATGTTTTGAAGTAGATGGCTGAGTTGTCAAAGTAAGCAGCCAGCAATGCCCCTCCACAAGCACTCCTTACCAATGCCTAATTTTTAGGGTGGGTTCATTTAAGTTTTCTTCAAAAAAAGTAGGTAAAAAAAGAACCTAACTACTAGTCCTCTTCATTGCACCAAGCAGCCAAATATTTTCAGAAAAAAAGAAAAAGATCTTCCCAGAGCTTGGAATCCCAATGTGAGTTGGTTAAACTTTTACATTACTGGTGAAGTATGTCTTTTTATGTTCCAGTTATGGATCCCTTCAGCTATTTTATCAAATACGGATGAAAGTGAATGATGGCCTTGATCTTACCAATGCCTAATTTTTAGGGTCTTTCAACTACGTTAAGCAGCCAAAAAAAACAGTTGATGGAGACAGGTCTTCATTCTGAACATTTTACAGGGCTAACTCTTTCTGGGACTCATTCACTATGCTATGGGCCATACTCAATTTCTTATGGGGCTAAGTCGCTACACTGGTTTATAGATAACTGTACTTCCCTTTGCAACGATGTGCAAGTTTATTAAATACTCACAAATTTCTTAGAAAGTTCATCCATTCTCTGTATTTGTCTTTCAATATTCCAGATGTGCCAGCCAATGTACTGCTCTGGTGGCAGCTAAAAGAGGGAAGCAAGAACAAGAGGAAGTACTAGACTGTCATACCGTCATTACCACTACTGTCATCAACATCAACATCATCACCATTGTCATCGTAATCACCATGACGATTGTCATCACTATTATGATGACTTAACTATCGTCATCGCTTTCAGTTGCCAATATAGTCATTCTGTATCTTCATTGTCCTTAATCAATACTCGTTACATGTATTTATTTTCATTGATATAATTGCGCCGAAATGGATTTGCGCGCTCCTTCAATTAGCATATTTGCCCTCTAGAGACCTTTCTAGCACCCCTGGGTATTTCGCTTAGTATTTATATGCCCTACCGTCATCCGATCGCTCTCATATGCGTTCATGCCCTGAGAGGTCTATTCAGACTATTCAGATTCGTTTTTTGCCCCTCCCTCCTCCCCTCAGCGACAAAAACCTTCATCCCTGCTGCACTTCTTTGCAGAAGCGGAAATTATTTTCGCCCATATCTTAGTATCCCCGCGAGTGCCATGGAGGCACAGCATAGCAATGAAAATTGTTCTACTATTAACCATTCTACATTTTTCAATAATTATAATATTCTTGAGTAGATGGTTGTAGCACTATTATCTGTGTTTCTCTAGAGAGAGGTAAGAGATTAAGAGAGATGCGGAGCAACCTTGCTCGGGCTGGGGTCTCCCCCTACTCACCCCCCCTCTGCCCCAGCAGCTCCGGGAGATGAGTAGGACAGGACAATTATGGTACGTAATGAGATTGATGCCAGAAACGACCTTCCACTCTCTTTATCAATTAACAATAATCCAGCAAAAAAAATATTTAAAATGGGAAGAGCAAAGATGTTAGGCTCACCTTTAAAAGGGCTGTTATGTCAGTTCTTCCTGTGTGTTCAATGTAGCATGGATGACCAAACTTATCATGTTTATGAAAAGCACAAGAGATAACCTTGAATTGAAGGAACAGTACAAAATTAAAAGAAGTTGGAAAATTCTTAAGGCTGGGAACATTACTTTTTCTCAACAAAAATTTAATTCGCAAGGATGGGACACAATGTCCTAGCCAACTGGAGAACACCATAAACTGGATGATAAACAATTTTTTCTTCCGAGCCACCTATGTCACTGACTGAAACACATCTTCCTCACTCCGGCAAGTAATCACCAGGCTTAGAATTCACCATCACATTTCTATCATTGCACATATACAGTGTAGGCACAAAACAACTCTCTCCTCCACAAAGGTTCCCACCAGGTATCCCAATAATCAAACAGTAGGAAGCGCTCAGGGGACAATCAGAAGAGGGAAAAGGCAGGAGCCTTGCTTCCTTCCTTTCCCCCCTTCCATTGTGCCATGAGTGCTTTCTTCTTCTTTGTCCCCAGCCTCCCTATGACACAAAGAGGTCTCCATGGAGAGGAGAGAGACATAACAACAATCCAGTCCTAATGGTATGTACGATGTTTGTCCCAATAGTGACCAACATCAATTTTCTCCTAATGATATCCATACATTGTCAAGAGATTAGGTTATGAGAATTAATGAAATGATCACCAGAGGGAAAATGCTCTGATCTTTTATCATATTCTCTCAACTCATTCTTTAAGGAATTGTATGGAGACCAGTTTGGAGAATTTGTGTGTGGATATTGGGACTTAGTGGCCTTTAATATTAGCTCCCACAAGTCTCCTGTGGCTCAGTGGTAGAGCATCTGGACGAGTAAACAGAAGGTCGTACATGTAGTTTCGACACCTGTTGGGAGTACAAGGATTTTTTCTTCTGAGCTGCCTGAGAAAAAACATCTTTCTCATGAATAATTTTGGGGATCAATGTGTCAAAAAAATTACGCAGCTTTCTTATTCACAATAACTACTAGCTGTAAGAATGTTTTGTTGTGGATGTTGTAGTTAATTTTTCATCTCAGTTAATTTGTGTACACTTTTTTTGTTGTTGTTGTTTTAGGGTATGGTATTGTATGCTAATGAAATAAAATTGGAACAAACTAGGAAAAATAAAAATTACTTGAGATAAAAAATTAACTACATCATGGACATGAGTTATTATTCTTGACAATGCATAAATTTGGACCTACCTTTTTGACTTCTTTGTCTAGTGGTCTCTGTATTAATTAAAGAAAGGGATGGTTATTCCTTGCTTTTAACTAAAACAACACAATCAGTATATACTGATTATTTTACATTAAAATGATAATTCTTATTTTAATTCCTATTTGAAACTCCTTATAATACTTTACACTCGGGTCATTTCATATTGTTTAGAAGGTTATTTCAAGGGAAAGGGCCGGGCACTTAAAATAAGCTTGGGGTGGGGATGGCAGCTTCAAACGACATCCCTGCTTAAGATGAAATCTTTTATTTTGCTCTAACCTGTTCAAGAAAAGGCAACTTATTTTGTTTTTCTTTCCTACTCTCACCTCACTGTTAAGAATATTATCTACATCATTGTTAAGTCGCCATTCTCTTGTAGCTGTGTATTGCCTGAAAACAGAAGATGAAAGGAAAGGCTCAGTTTTATCCTTGGTTTAAATTTTATGGCCCTTAAATAATTTTTTCAAACATTTTATCATAAACCATACCCAAACAAAGGCACATGACATTTGAACCAAAAATAACATTGAACCACAACAATACATGTATATAATAATTTTCTAATGGCTTATTTACAGTAAAAGTAATAATATAATAATAATAACAGTATTATATATTATTAATGTTATAATAATAATAATAATAATACTATTAAAGTTTTCTGGCGCCAATCATGGGGTGTCTTCCGAGAACAGGCCTCCATAAATCTGCTTTTTGGAAGATAATTAACTGCATGCAATTTATGCGTTACTTAGATCACGTACTTCCATGCTTTCTTTAAAAATTTCTTCTAATGCTCTGATTGGTGAAATGCTTCCGAGAGGCCCCAGTTGTTAAAAACAGGCCTCCATAAAATCCACTGTTTTGGAAGATAATTAACTGGATCCAATTTTTGATGGAAGCTTTATCCAGCTTTTTAGATCATGTACTTCCAGGAGGTTTATAAAAACAATTTAAAAATTTAACCCAAAAATTACTTATGTATAGAGGTTCCAACTAGAGGACTTTGGCTGGGAAAAAGAGGTGGTCAGATCTGTAATGGATCAGGTTGGACGCTTGCAAGAGGTGGTCACACATGGATCAGGTTGGACTATAAAGTGGAACCTCGACATAACAAAGCGCCAAGGGACTGGCAAAATCTGTTCGCTATAATGCGGTTTCGTTACATCGAGGTTCTTTTTCGTATATTTTTCTATTACTGGGGTAAAGAAAATGGTTTCTTATACTGCAGTCCTTGTTATACAGAGGTTTGACTGTACTATTATCATAAAAATTGCATACCTGTGAGCTGCTTTGGGATCAAAGCTTCGTGCCCTGAGAAACCTTAACAATGTACCCTGCAAAAAAGGTCAAGTCTTCGTTGGCACAAGCTTTTGTTTTGAACAAAATGGACTGTGAAAGAGCATTTTTTAATGGCTATAACTCCTTCCACCAAGCAATAGCCCCAATATCCACATACAAATTCCCCCAACTAATCTCTAAACATTTCTTACTGAATTAGTCGGGAGAATTTGAACAAAATTAGAGCATTTTTCCTTTGGTGATCATTCGATCAATTCTCCTAACCTTTTCTCTTGATTGTGTATTGGTAACATCAGGAGAAAATTGATGTTGGTCACCCTTGGGACCTAAAGGGTTAAAGTTTATCCAAGCCCTGCATGTAACTGTAGGTTCTTAGTTGTGAGTGCTGAGTTTGAAAATCTGGGAATCATTTTTAGAGGTCATCTAAACCAAATAATTGCAAAAATTAGATAGTGTTTCAGAAGTTTATAGACAAGTGTTAAATGCTTCTTAGAGTTGGCCTGCCATACTTTCTCTCAGTATCTAATTTATTCATGTCTGTGGTCTCAATTAAATACAGTAGAACCCTGTTAATACGGTCACCAATAGGCAAAAAAAAATTAGCCGTATTAACAAGGTTTTTTTTACAAGAAAATGACTGGCAGTTTTTGCCAGATGGCGAAAACGAAGTGGCCGTAATAACTAGGTGACCATATTACCGAAGTGACTGTAAGGCGGGGATTCCCTGTAGTACCAAGAAGTACAATGAACAGTATTTGATTTCTGTGGATCCTCTTCTTAATTCCTCTATCCTTTTTTGCATTTCTTGCACTTGAGTCTCAGGATGCAAGAAATTGAAATAAGATCGCCGAAGAGTAACTTTACAGCAGAGTATATAGATTACTTCCAAATACATATGATAATTAACTTTGGGTAGCAAAGTTTTGACCATACTTATTTGCATTGCTGTGGGATGAATGTCTTAACTTGGCATGCTTTATAAAAATTATTTTTCCATGGTATACAAAATATTATTGTAACCACTAATAAAGATTTCACAACAAATCCATTTGAATTTAAATATTTCCCAAAAGTTCAATTCTATTAAGGTGGCAGGTAATAGTGAAACAGGCATAAAAACACCTAAATTTATCAAACAAGGCAAAATTTATTCCAAAATTATAAATTTAAATAATTGATAATCACATTTGGCACCACATGATGCCAACAGCAGATAGAAAATCAATATCAAAGATAGAAAATCTTGTTACACTCTAATCTTAAAATCAGAGTTACAACATACGTAACTTATTTCATCTAACCATTGTTTAAACAAAATAGAAACTAAATTGTTGTAAGCTGAAAGTGAAAAAAGACAATTATATTATTTTCCTATGCACGAGATGCATATGTACGAGAGAGATGTTTCTTTATTATTTAAATAACCAGCCCCTACAAGGAATTTACGTCATTGTATTTATTCAAATTTTGTTATTTTTTGTACACACTTGAAATAATAACATTAAAAAAAAAAAGGAAAAAAATCAGTTTATAACATATCACAATTGTTTTTCACAAACATGTTGATTGTTTTGCTTTAATGTACTAAACCACAAACAGTTTTTCTATCACCCACGTTCGTAAGAAATAATTAATGCCGAAAGAGGACTATTAAAATAAGTGTGATGTTTATCCTGTGAGATTCTCTGGAAACTGTTGAACAAGATGAATATAAGCTTATCATTACATAACGAGCAAATAAGGGCAAACCTTGGAATACACTCGCGCATATAAGCAAAAGTTTCAAAACATTGGTCACGGATGAACAGTTAAATATTGCAGCCCTTATACTAAACAACCTCTATATTTTAAAAAATTCATTACAGTTTTAATCAATTTGTTGCTTAGCTGTAGTAAGCTCACATGAGTCATGTCGCAGTGCAAGTTCTAATTTCATTCGTCCAAAGACGTCACTGATAAACTAAAGTCCTTTAAGCTGAGTCACGCTTCAGCAGAAAATAAACTTGCACATCTATAACGAATTTAAAAGCCCATCGTAAACTTACAATAATTCTGTTAACTAATCTCCCATGAGAATTAATAAAAGGCTAAACGAAAATCAATGAAAACATTAACCAATGAAGGAAGTGAAATTAGCTTAATTCAAAGAAACGGAAATTGACGTGATAAACACATGGCTTACGTTTTGAAAAAAATACAGCTTCAATTCTATATCTTTATAAATACATTGAATATGTGATACTGAATTATGTAAACACATTTGTTCGTGAGAACGTGCTAAAATCCCGTTTCAGAGTGACTAGTCTAATCCCCGCCAAGCTATAAACAAGTGTTCCATGTCAACAGTCAAAAAGTTCGCAGTTCCAGATGCTTCACGAATAAAGTGGAGATTCGAGGATTCTGCTTTTATAAAAAGCATGACACCTGATCGCACCACTTTTCACCATCTCGCTGTAACTTTCATTAAAGGCTTACCTCATCTTCTGTTGGCTCCGTTGTTAACATTTCTTTCAGCTCTTTTAACGCCTTTTCTTGGTGCGAAGACAAATCGCCGATGTATCCACTCATTGCTGCACTTTTTACAAAGAGAGCTCTCACCTCGCCAGTTGTCCCGTAAAGTGGAAAATTATATTTTTTGCGATAACATTCGGTGATCCATTTTAACAGGTGGCTAACGGTAAGATTTTCGCCTACTACCGACGTGCATAGCAAAAATTTGTGAATTATTTATCAGCTTTTTTCTTGCAGAAAGGCAAGCGGAATTTGTTTTTATGGTGATGAGAGAGGGACAAGGGCGAGCTTGAATTCTTGTGGTTAAGGTAAGGAGAATTTGATCACATCGTCGACGAAAAACTCTTACATTCATGTAAAAACAGTTCAATCTTGGAATCTTGATCAATAAACATCAGAAAATATCATCGTTTCAAATTTCTTTTAATTATCTTACGAGTTTCTTTGGAGAGAGTGATGGAAAAAAGAAAAAAAAAGCATTGACCGAAATGGGAAAGTCTCCCACGGTCGTTTTGGCGGCTGGACCAATTGGAACACGTGGCAGGGGCGTCAATATCCCGGATGAACTAACACTGCTCGCGTTTGTGGTGGCGGTGCATGCAGCATAGGCAAAGCAAAGCTGATGTGATTGCATTGGGTCTACCGTTAGTATTCGCCATGGTTTTTCGTGATGTGTTTTTGTTTGGTTCTAGAAAGGATACGAGATTTCCATAAATACGATCGAAAGAGAAAATTTGTCATTGCGGTGGACCAGATTGTGGAACAAACGTCGTTCTGCAGGGACTGTCACGAATTCAAGGTTGCATAGAGTGCATTGTTTTTAAGCACACATTCTCGATCGCCTTTCATTTCCACTGGCGTTAGGAAAACCAATCGGGAAGGATGAGTTCTGAAGAAAGATCCGATAATTCGGGGCAGACAGATGACAGCAAGTAAGTTAAATTTATCTGAAAGTGGTTTTACAATACAAAAGTCGCCGTCTATAGTAGTGGGCGCTACAAAGCTTGAAATGTATGTTGTGTTGTGGTGAAATGTACGCTATATGGCGAGTTCGAATTCAAAAACATAGCGACCACAAACTGAATCACACAACATTGTTCCTTGCTTTGTTTTCTGCTTGTTGTGATCCTTTCATCTTGTCAAAGCGAACACGATGGTTCCATTTAAGCGAAATTGAAGCTTATCCCTCGTAGCAGGTTGTGTGTTGTTTTACATGCAGACTTCAATTCCCTTGGGTGACCCGATCGAACCCGCGTACTTTGCATATCAATGATAGCCTTTCCAATCATTTCAGTTGTTAAATTTCTTTCGTCGTATTTAAAGGTGACTGTTATGGATCGTCCACATGAAAAAATGCTTTCTGATTAAAGTTATCCTCTCTTTGTACACTTTTCGTTCCCTTCGAGGCGGATCTTTCGTCAACCGGAACGAATACTGACTGACCAAAAGGAAGGAAATGAGCAAATTCGGCCTTTAAATCTGACCTAGATTTTCCTTCCTCTAATTTGTAACTTGACTCGTCGCAATTATCGTCTGAGATTGATCTGTTTCTACTTGTAAATTTCTAGTTGGATGGTTTGGTTGGAAAATAGAATTTGCAAAGTGCAATCTTTGATTTTTTTTTGTTGAAGGAGTTGTTTCTGCATGAAAATTTCGCGCAAGTTGTTTGCAAGTTCGCAAAGGATAATTTTGTTAATTTTTTAAAATTAGTATATGTACTGTGGCAAATAAAATTTGTCTGACGAGGAAACAATGGTTGAGGGCTAAGTGCACTTGATGCCATTGTACTGCTTGACCATACCAGATAGTTTCTCACATTTCAATTGTCATCACAAATTAGTTATGTAAATTACTAAGATGAATTGAGCCATAAAGCTGTAGTAGCTGAAGAAAAAAACTGAGAGCTCTGAAAATTTCTCTTGATGCTGATTACTTGTTTAACATATACAAACAAGCCTGTGTGGCATATGTGAGTAATCAGTAACTTTTGAGTAACATTGAGAAAAAGCCTCCTTATTTTACCAAAAAGTCATTTTGCTGCATAACAAAGTCATTTAAAAGCAGTCTTTTTTCATTAATTTGGAAAACATACACAAAACTTTCATTTAGCGACATTGTTAAGGGTATTAAACTTCATGACTCTTAAAAAAGCGGTTGGTTTGTTACCTTCTAAATTCTTAAGTCCAAGACATCAGGATTCCCTGCGGGAGTGCATTGGGTGGACACCTTTAAGACGATCACTCTGCACTGATCTAAATGGTGTCTGTCCTTGAGAGTAAACTTTATACTGTAAAAAACCTCCCTGAAATGGCTACTGGCCATGATTTGTCTGTATAGGTCTGTTTTAGAATGAATTGACTCTTTACAATGTGTTCACCTTTGTAAGGCAGAAATTCCTAATAATGTCCATTTTGGAATTAGTTAACTCTCTATAGGGTGAAGACAGTTGCTTGTGGCTCATCCCTGTAGCATTAGTCCTTGAGAGAGGTGTTAGTATAAGGTGGAGTCGTCTCTTTATGAGGCTGACATCTCCGTAGGAGGTGGTCACCCATTCGTCCTAACCTGTTCCACAGACAGATCTAAACTTCTGGTTAAATCTGTCTGCGAAACAGCACTGAAATCCTTGTTCAGGGTTCCCAACTGTGTACCAGGATTTGTGAATGCACCATGACTGGCCTGTTAACCCTTTAAACCCTAAAATCAAAATTGAGATTCTCATTTACTGTCCCTATACAATTCAATAGAGGTATTGGGGAGAATTTGGTGAAATATCAAATAGACTCATCCTCCCTGATCATGTACTCAATTCTCACAACCACCATGTTTTCTAAAGCATTGATATTATGAGGAGAAATTTTATGCTGATCACTCTTAGGGCTTAAGGGTTAAAAATGCCTTTGTTGATTTGCCAATCAGGTTGAAGGGAAATTCAAAGTGCATTTTCCAGTAAATCATTGAGTCTGTCAGGGGTTCCATTTACAAGGATATCAGGGTTGCTTCCCAGAGGTTACTAACCAGATTATGTCTGTGATGCAGGCTAATCATTAGTCCTGACCCCATTGGGGTATGTCTTAGTGTACTGTAAAAATTACAAGGTTAATTGTATGGTCGCTACATTTAATAATGTTGCCTATCTTAAATTTACTTTCAGGTCAGAGAGTGATGATGAGGTAAGTTTGTTTATTGTTTGTTTGTTTTCGTTTTTAACCTTTTCATTTCTAGACCTGTACGTATTCCCTTTAACTTTGGAGCCTGTGGATGAAATGTAATGGTTTTACTTTACTGTGAAACTCAGAAACTTCTTAATTTGTGAACACCAGAAATATTTTTGGAATGCTGTGGTGTTGCCAGGAATATGCCATTCAGGCAGGAGAAAACTAGACTGCAAGCAGCAGTGGTGATGAGTGTGTTGTTTTGTGGTCTGCTTCTGAGTCCTGAACTCAGCTGTTCACAGTTTTCTGAGTTTGATAGTAATGAAATGATAAACAGAGGAAAAACCAGTGTGCAAAGAAAGTAGTGTCTGCTGGCCCGTGGCTAGTGGATTTTGCTATTGGGCTAGTGAATTCTGTTCTTAACTTGCCTGACGGGCAAGTGAAGTATTTGGAGGAATTCAACGTACAGGAGAACTGTGAAATCAATTCTGCTCATCAAAACATTTTTGGTTGCTAGATGAAATGATGTTTGGGCTGGTAAATGCTAGCTTCAGCTTGCCTGAATGGCAAGCCATAAAAATGACTTTCTTTGCACCCTGAAAACACTTTGATCTTTTAACAAATTCTCCCGACTAATTTTTCAAGGAACTGTATGGAGAAGAGTCAGGAGAATTTGTATGTAAATATTAGGGCTTAAAGGGTCATACAATGATTGTTGTTGCTGCGTACTGTTAGTTTCATTTCCTGCATAAATGTCAGCTAATAGAAGAGATAAAATCTGTACGAGAATGGAATTTCCATGAACTGACATCTACTGTGTATTTCTTGACACGTGTGAAAGGTTAGGAACCATCTATTTATTTTTATTTTTATTTTTTTTTAGGTCTCAGGTGAACATGTTATTTCTTCAACGGAGGAGTATCAGCCTCCTTACTACGAGCATATTGAGGAGAATGTTTATTTGTTTGACAGGTAAATACCAAAATTTAACATTTGACATGTGCTTTTTGTAGTTCCCCAGTCTAGAAACTTTAAAGGAAGCTTTCAGTCCCAGAGGGGGTGTAGAAGGTACTCCCATAAATTTCAGATAGGTGGGTGCCACCCACGGTCTTAAACCCTGAGCTTTTTCAAGGAAGTGACAAACAAAAATTAACATCCAATGTATGGCCCAAACCTGAAAAGTGACACCTTATTCAAGGGAAAATAAAAACTAAAACTTTTATGGTAAGACACAAACCTGCATCAAATCACTTTCCTAATACTGTTAGCCTGTGCCCACAGATGAAACTAAAGTCTGGTTAAGTCTGTCTGCGAAACAGGGCTGGAATCCTTGGTCTGGGCTCCCAGCTGTGTAGCCAGATTTGAGTTAGCACCATGATTGGCCTGTTTAAAATGCCATTGTCAATTTGCCGATTAAGATGAAAGGAAATTTGGAACGCTTTTCCTGTAATAATTATTCGTTGAGTCCATTGGAGGCCCAGGACAAGGATATCGGTGCTGCTTTGCAGACGTTAACCCTTTATGCCCCAAGAGTGACCAACATCAATTTTCTCCCGACAGCATCAATATGTAATCAAGAGATTAGGTTATGAGAATTAATAAGATGATCATGAATCTAAAGGGAACTGCTTTGATCTCTAAACAAATTCTCAAAACGAATCCTTTAGGTAATGTATGGATATCAGTGTGGAGAATTTTTATGTGGATACTGGGGATTAAAGGGTTAGATTATGTCTGCGACACAGGCTCAGATCTGGGTAGTGCTTCTGATTGGTCATGCCGCGTGGGAAATTTGATTCAACCAATCAGAAGCACTACCCAGATCGGGGTCGTGAGGCGTCATCAGTATGGAATTTGTGCACTCGTTTCTCAGACGTCATTTGGCGGAGAAACCAGTGGTAGCATCACCAAATGTTGGCTGTGTTCTCAGGCTAACCAGGAACACAATACCAACAAAAAATGATACTGTGTTTAACCCTTTAAGTGCCAATAGTGACCGACATCAATTTTCTCCTAACCATATCCAAAGATTGTGAAGAGATTATGTTCTGAGAATTAATTTTAAATTGAGGGGTTTATTTTTGGAAGAGAAAATGCTTTGACCTTGCGTTTCAAAAAATTCTCTCAACACTTTGTTTTCTTTTTAAGGAAATGTATAGAGATCAGTTTGGAGGAATTCACGGTTATGTGGATATGGGGGCTTAAATGGGTTATGATTGATCACCTAAGAAAAACAGTATCCCTACAAATTCTTTTTATAGGAGTTTGGAGAATTTGTGGATATTGGGGACAGGATTGAGACCCTCAAAAACAATACCCTGATTGGTCGTTTGGTTGCCCTGATTGGTTAATGGTTGCCCTGACTACTATCAAGTTCAAGTTCATGTTCATTTATTCACACTTATTCAATTACAATACAACAACAATAAGGAAAATAAAGCAGTAAAAACTCAGCGAGCTATACATTGAATTAAACATAACAAAGGAAAAAGTGTGTAGCAGCCGAAGGAGCCAAGCTTTCGAGTTGGCTACTACGACAGAGTGGTTACAAGTGGGTGGGGGTTATACAGTACTTATAAAAAACTATTTAAATTAAATAATTAAATAAATAGAGCTAAATAACAGATTAGAGTTGTTCAAGATGCCTGACTGTCAAGTAGAAAGAGTTTATATTCTTTTACACTGTTAAACTCATGCTCTGGGTTAAATTCTGCACAGTTAAACTCTTAAATTCTGTACGGTTAAACTCTCCATGCATTTAACTCTCCACTCCCCATCTTGGTCGCACGTGATGTTCCCTGAAATCACTTCACCTAAATCTCATCCCCATTCTCCCTTGAGTCTCTGAAGTGGGGAATTCACCTCACTGCTCAGTAAAAGTGGCATTAGTGTTGCACACAGCTAAGTAACCTTCAAACGATTTATTCTTTACTCTAGGAAGAAGAGAGTAAACAAGGAAGTGAGAAAGATGCAATGTGACTGCACCTTTGATGCTGGTAAGGGAAAGCTGTGTCTGGCATAATATTTTTTGGGCTTCATGTACATGTACAATGTACATCAAATCAGGGTGAAATAGTGATTGATTTCTATATTTGAACAAATAATGAATTGTAAAGAAGTTTAATAAGCAGTTTGAGAAGTTCCAATGTACAATGTAGATTTGGTTAGACTCAGGGCTTGAAAAAAACTTGAATTCCAGCTTGCCTTTTAAACAAGCAGTTCTCACAGTTTTCTTGCCCTTGGCCACTTCTTGCTTGTCTCAGTTAATAATTTTGTGGATCATTATATGTTTCTAGAAAACTGCCCGCCTACCCCTCTCCTATGCCAACATTTTGCGCTAAGTGGGAAGTAAATGTTAATGTTGGCTTAGGGGAGGGGTAGGTGGGCAGTTTCCCAGAAACATACTATGTTCCGTATTAGGGGATGACTTATCCGGACCCTTGCCCATTGACCACTGCAAAAAATACCATAACATACCATAATTAGCAATTATTGCACTCGGTTATCGCAAAATATCGTGATTTGTCAGTGGAGAGCAGATCAGTTATTCAGCTGAGGCAAATAATTGATCTGCGAGACACTGACAAATCATGATATTTTGCGATAACCGAGTTCACCGAGTTTGTTTTTAAGGAATATCTCCGGGAAGCGAAGCGATCTGCCATTTTCACGCAAGAGCGGTCAAAGAAGGAGAAAAGCGTGGTCTCAAGCAGAATAGTATTAGCAGCCAAAAACAGTTGAACAACATTGCGCATGAGCACACCATAATTTGTAGGCATTTATTTGCAGGTCACGTGGTGGGCTCTCGGCCAGTGAAAAGGAAGAAACAATTGCATTGAATGATAATGCCTTTTGTTTGTTACCCAAAATTTTGCATAAGCATTGTTTTCAGTTTCTCTCGGGGCCATTTTAACTTCCAAGAGAAACTGACGACAATGCTTATGCAAAATTTTGGGGTAACAAACAAAGAGCATTATGGTATGTTATGGTATTTCTGGAGTGGTCAATTGGGCATGTAAGCGTTAAAAGTTGTTAGTTGCCCAGCAAGGGAATCTACTTGTCCTAGACTACCGGAATGGACATAAGCCCAGACTGTATGTGTAAATCTTTTGCTGTTTAATGTTTGTCTGTAGATGATGAGGATTTTGTTGCCTGTGGCGAGGACTGTCTTAACAGGCTGCTCATGATTGAATGGTATGTTCAATAGTGACCAAAAACAATTTTCTCCTAATAATATCCATACATTGTCAAGAGATGAAGTTATGAGAATTAATAAAATGATCACCAAAGGGAAAATGCGATGATCTTTTATCATATTCTCTGAACTAATTCTTAAAGAAAATGTGTGGAGATCAGTTTGGAGAATTTGTATGTGGATATAAAATTTGGGACTTAAAGGGTTAATCATTCAATATTTCATGTTAATTACTTGTATAAGACAGAATTGGATAAGCGCTAGCCTTACAGGCCTTCCTGTCTCAAATTTCTCCTATTTTGCTCTTTTGAGATCTATCAGCTCACACTTCTCTCTGATTTCTGTCCTAACAGTAACAGCAGATGTGCATGTGGAACACAATGCAGCAACAAACGATTTCAACAGGTCAGTAGAGCAGAAAAAAATAGATGGCAGAATGTCTTTTTTTATATATATATGGTGTGGCAGTCAACGTCAGATCAGAGTTGGAAGAATCAGAAGTTTCCATTTCTTCTGACTCAGCTTATGACTCTGTTGCTCATGATCTAGTGAAAACCAGATTGCGGGGGTTGGAACGAACGGCAGAAGGATAAACCAATCTCAATGCACGTTCCCATGCTTTGTGATTGGTTTAGTTCTTCTATTTTCTGCTTGTGACTCCGACAACCTAATTTTTACTCGATCATAAGCAACAGAGTCGTAAGCGGAATTGAAACCCTTTTTTCACTACATCATAAAGTCTTACTCTTCTGATTATGACTCTGACTCTGTCATTAGTGATACCCAGCCTTTAAACAATGCTCTTCCTTTAGGGCTGCAAGGTGAAAGTGGAAGTCTTTAAAACTGAGAAGAAAGGATGGGGATTGCGAACACTTGAGGATCTTGAGCCGTAAGTTTGTCTTGTAGTTTGTTATCATTTGAACACTGCCTGGTTGGCTCAGTTGAAAGAGTGTCGGTCTGCTGAGTGGGAGGTTGTGAGTTAAAAACCTGGCTGGACCAACAGTCAGGGTCATTAAAATAACTGAGGAGAAAGTGCTGCCTTTGCAATGACTTCTGCAAACAGTTAGACTCTCTAGTCTTCTCCGATAAGGACGAAAAACCGTAGTTGACCTGTCTCACAGCACTTTCACCTATCTGGTTCTTTGTGGGAAGTAAAAGAACCCACACCACTGTTTGAAAAGAGTAGGGGACGTAGACCCCAGTGGTGTGGCCAACCTCTCATGGACTGGGTAGGTTATTTGCAAGGACACACTTAAATTCAAGCCTTGTTTTTTGTTGGAAGTGATTGAATAAATAAGTAAATGAATAAATGAAATTGCAAATTATTAAATAAATGCTTAAAAAAGGTGGCCTTTGAATAAACCAAGCCTTTTGTCCTCCAATGTATGTAAGAGCCAGTGGTGCCTTTTCCCCTTGGGTGACTAGAAAATCTCAGATTTTTTACGCAAATCATATGCTGGGCACCCTAGAGTTTACAGTTTCAGAGCACTAGGCTCCCTTCAATTTTCCTTAGAGCACAGCCTTGGTCCTCAGTGTTAAAAGTGAGAGTAATAAGTAAATTGGGCTAAGGACCAACTCTGAAAGGGTTAAATTAGCTGTAACTCATATGCCCTCCGAATCTTCCTGGACAAGTGAAAATCTTACTAGATAATAGAAAGCTTTAGATTTGATTACAAGGATGACTACGAGTACAAGATTCAACTTTATGTTTTTTCACGTATCCTCAAAAAATATTCAACACAGAAAGCTTCACTGTACTATGATAAAATGATTAAACTTCCTGCCATTATGGCATTCTTGCTAAAACTCTTAAAGTAGAATGACATGTGCTATTACATTTTCCTGCCAAAATGATGCTGGTTCTTGCACAACACTGCTTAGTATTGAGAAAATCTTGTTCTTGTAGTCGTCCTCGTCTTAGAATCTATTCTCTCTAATGACAATGCTTGACTGGGGTTTGCTCAAAATTCCCAGCCAGGCAAAAACAATGTCTGAAGTTTGATAGCACATAAATACTGTTTTTACTACACTTTTGTTTAGAAATCAGTTTGTGATGGAATACTGTGGGGAAGTTATGGATTACAAAGATTTCCAAGAAAGAGCAGAGCGTTATGACAAAGAGAACAGAAGACATTATTATTTCATGACGCTTAGAGCTGATGAGGTAATAATTGGCTGCTTTTACAAGATATTAGGGAGTTTTAGCAATGACGACAGTGATGGCAACGGGGACGCCAAAAAAGCAATTGGTTTAGTACTCTGCCACCACTGCACGACCATGATGTGAAAATGCCTAATTTTCACATTTTGTTTGTACAGTTGTTTGTACTTGCCACTTCATTGTTTTGTTGTTTTTCATGTATAACTGTACTCTCACAGATTATTGATGCCACATTTAAAGGAAATCTATCACGATTCATCAACCATAGTTGTGACTCAAACTGTGAAACTCAAAAGGTAGGTTGATGAAAACATAACTTACTGTAAATCCTGACGTTAGAAGTTACCATTAACTAACCTTTGTATGGATGGTGCTTAAGGCACAGTAAGCAATTTTTAATGTGTGTCTTCAGAATTTTTTTTACCCCTTTGGCTGAGATTCAGTAGAGTATGGTCCTTTTTTCATTTTATTAACCCTTTTATCACTATTGGTAGCCAAAGTAAAAAATTCACATCAAAACTCATTTTTTGTAAAATCAGAGAAATTATTAGAACCATACATAAGATTTGTCTAATCAAAGTTTCCTTTGAATGGTAACACCATAGGAGATCATCCACAGAATACCCAGTTAACCCTTTAAGTCCCGATAGTGACCAACATCAATTTTCTCCTAACAATATCCAGTAATTGTCAAGAGATACGGTTATGAGAATTAACAAATGATCACCAAAGAGAAAATACCTTGATCTGTTATTAAATTCTTAAAGGAAATGTATGGAGATCAGTTTGGAGAATTTGTATGTTGATATTGTGACTTAAAGGGTTAAGGTGTAATGTTACCATACTTTGTCCAGTAATAAAAGGAAGAAGTCCTGCTAAGTAGTGCTTTTTCACCACAGATAAATCATTTACTTAATTAAATCTACTATTGTTGGATCAGTGAGGAGAATATTCATAGTAACATCAGTTCTGTTTGTTTTAGTGGACTGTGAATGGCTTGCTTAGAATTGGATTTTTTACCCAGAGACACATTCCAGCAGGAACTGAACTGACATTTGATTACAAATTGCAGCGTTACGGGTATGATTACGCTATAGCATTTATTTTTTAATCATGCAGTTTATTGATGTGCTCTGTATTGATTAGGTTCTGACTGCTATGTACACTCTATATTTTCCTCATTCCTAAAGTTTATCGTGTATAATGCAAATAAATTGTGGGGAATGTCTATTTGAAAACCAACATTTAATGTAGAAATTTGATGTATCTTTATGGTACTTTTATGCATTAAGAGTACAATCGACATGAATACCACCGCCATGATGTTTTCCTTAGTATGCGCATGAAAGACTTACTGTGAAACTCACAAAACTGGAACACCAGAAATATTTCTGGAATGTTATTGCGTTGCAAGGAAAGAGCCAATCAGGCGTGGGAAAACTAATCTGCACACAACTGTGGTAAAAAGGTTTGGGGCTTGTTCACATGTTCCGATGTTAAGTGCGATTGGTTATGACACAATAAACGCTCAAAAGATTTCAGATTTTCACAGTTTGATTAGTTTGACGGTAATGGAAGCACTATTTTCTTCTTTTTGTGAATTTGCACAGAAAAGTGGCTCAAGTGTGTCACTGTGAGGCTGACAACTGTCGTGGATTCATTGGTGGTGAAAAGCAAACTCCTCTGAAGAACACAGTTGAGAGAATCACTACTCCACCAACTAGCTCTCCAAGAAGGAGAGCTCGTAAAAAGAGGAACCTAACAGCTGAATTTGATGACGTTACGGTAAATCCAAAAATGTCATTTGGAGCTTGTTTTAGTTGTCTTGCTTTTTAGTTGAAAATTGCTTGGTTTCAAACCAAGGGGGACTGGGTATGAGTCTATATGTCATGGGATTATCAACACGAGATACAGCCAATCAAAATCTCTTAAACAAAAAATGTCCCCTAGATCTTATCGCAATTTCCAGCATTTGTCATAAGGCTCTTGTTGATTAGTTCTTCAAAGTACCCCACAGATATTTAGGAAACAAAATAAACAAACACTTCATGTCATGCAATCAAGAATAATAACTTCCTGTCTCCAACACCAGAAACAGTATCAGCAACATGTTGCTATAGCTACCAACCTTTGGGAGGAGCCCTTATTTAAGGGTCTTGATGAGCACCCGCCTCCACCCTTCCCTCAATACCCCCTTAACACGAAGTCAAGATCTCTAATGGGGAATAGCAGAGGATCTACTTTGGAAATTTTTTTAAAACTAATTTTTGGTTTGATTTGTTGTCAGCTTGAAGATGAGGTGGAAAAACTTTTGGGAGATAACAGGGGATTGGTGCAAAGTGACCACGCCTTAAAACTGTCACGACTGATGGTACGAGCAGAGACCACAGAGCAGAGAATAATGCTTCTTAAAATCCTGCAGGTAAATGCTGAATTATGAAGTTTTTTGGGAGGCAAGTAGTCTGATAGAAAAATTGACATTAGTTCACATGGACTCCTTAAAGAAGGCCCTGTAGGCTATAATATGGGCAGGCTGCCTTGTGGAAAAGGCTTGGCTACCAGGAAGTAAGATAACTCTAAAATTATTCGATTTAGCATGGTCGCCTTTTTATGTGCCTATGTACTTGTAGGTAAATATTGTTTTTTTCGTCAACTTTTCTTTTGCAGAACACCACTGACCAATCTTGTTTGAAGGGCTTTCTAAGATTTCAAGGCTTGTCTCTGTTATGGAGCTGGATGGTTGATGGAGGGGAAAAAAAGCCAAAATTGCGGAGAGAGGTAAAGATCAGGGTGTAATTGCTTTGAATATTCCAATTTAATTATCATCATTGTCATTGCAGCGTGCAAAGAAAGTCGTGTCTGATAGCGCGGGGCTAGTGGATTTTGTTATTGGGCTAGTGAATTCTGTTCTTTACTTGCCCGACAGGCCAGTGAAGTTTTTTACAGAAGAATTATGAAATCAATTCTGCTCATCAAAAAGTTTTGAGGGGTAGTTGAAATGATGTTTGGGCTAGTAAATGCTGTCTTCGGCAAGCTTTAAAAATGATTTTCTCTGTACCCTGCATCATGTCCGCGTCATATTAAACTTGTGCTCATAAGTCACTGAATTGTACAAACCTCTCCACGTTGAAAGCATTTATCTGTCACTTCAATTCTGATGGTAAACATTTGAATGTATTTACTAATTCCCAGTTCCTCCTGGTTGTTATCAGTGTAAATGAGTGGGATTGTTTAACCCTTCAAGTCCCAATAGTGACCAATATCAATTTTCTCCTAACAATATCCATACATTGTCAAGAGATAAGGTTATGAGAAGTTATAAAATGATGACCGAAGAGAAAATGCCTTGATCTCTTATCCAATTCTCCCAACTCATTCTTTAAGGAAATATATAGAGATAAGTTTCGAGAATTTTTATGTGTATATTGGGACTTGAAGAGGTTAAAACTGTTTATACGCTCCTGTAACAGAAGCAGGGAAATTGCTTGGTACTTTGAGAAACTGAACTTTGATTAATAAGGCATGTGATTTTTGAGAAATGAGTGAAGACCATTATTTGTACCTTGCCTACTATGGTATTGGGAAGCTAAATATTTTGTTATCATCAGTTTTTGGCCAACCAAAGCTCTTCAATGCAATCTCTGCAATGGCATTGATAACCACAATTGTGATTGTTCATCAAGCTTTTCACTCTAGTAGGTTATCAATTCAGGAAAGATTCTGAAATGTGATTTTATGTTTGCTTGTAGTTGCTTGAGACTTTAAAATACCTTCCAATTGCTACCAAGAACCAGCTTGAAGATAGTAAAGTCATAAAAGTGGTCAGAAAATGGGCATCATCTCACTGCCCAACTGTTGAAGGAGGCTCCAGCAGCGGACAGGAGTCGCATGGCGACAGCCCAGCAGATTCTGAATGTACAGCAGGAACTGAAGAAAATGATTATGAGAAGGACAAGAAAGAGAATGGTATCCCTGTGTTTGAAAGGCAGTGCTCCAATAGGGATCAATCTGATGACGATTCTCTGGATGCTGAAGTTGCCAGTTTTAATGTTGAGAAGACTATGGACAGTGGATCTTTAAAAATAAAAATGGCTTCAGAAAGCTCAGGAAAGTCTCCCGATGACCTTTCAGAGGATGATGCGAAGTCAGAAGATGAGCGGTTGCCGGTAGATGGGGTTGGGTTTATGGCCAATGAATTGTTGAAGTCTTGGAGTTCACTAAAGGTACTCATGTTTTAGCTTTGCTTTCTTGTGGTAAATTTGGTTCCCCACTCTAAAATGTTGACTGATTGTGTTTGAAAAAAGTTTGAGTGGACTTAGTTCACAGATCCAAAAGTTAGTACCACCTTGTCCAGCATAATAAACAGTACCACGGGAAAGTACTGCTCAGTAGCTTTCATTTGAATGGTCACACCATAGGATTTCATCCACAGACTCAAAAGTTAGAACCACCTTGTACAGCATAATAAACAGCACCACAGGAAAGTACTGCTCAGTAGCTTTCATTGGAATGGTAACACCATAGGATTTCATCCCCAGACTCAAAAGTTAGAACTACCTTGTACGGCATGATAAACAGTACCACAGTAAAGTACTGCTCAGTAGCTTTCATTTTAATGGTCACACCATAGCATTTCTTCCATGTTTGGAATGGTAATATTTAATTAATGTTTGTTTCCTCCAATTGTTTCCAGGAAGTCTACAGGATACCAAAGAAATCTGCGACTCCTGTAAGTTAAAGGTTTATAATTGATCCTTTTCTCCAGTAATCATAGGTTGATATTAATCTTTGGTTACCATATAACCTCTGCTCTTGTTAAAAAATATTTTACGCGCGGAGAAACTGGTCGAGCATTAAGGATTGAAGAACTATTCAGAAGGATTATTGGTCAATTATTTAAATGAAGTCTAACTTAGAACATAGTTTTAGACAGTCAGTGAGCCTGTGATTTATCTAAGCTAGGTTTATCTAAAGCAAATATCTGTTGTTAACCGTCTGATCTATCGATCGTGTCCAACGTTCTCTCCATAGGCAAAGCAGGACAGAATTGTGGAGTTGACAATAGCAAGCAGTCCTGCAGGTACCCTATATCACAGTTCTTTTCTAAGACTTGCTGAACTTTCACTGTTATTAGCAGCAGGCCTTTATTGTGAATTTTTGCAGTGATATCCGTGAGTTTTTAATTTTATTTTTGTTTTGAATTTTAAAGCTTCTAGCAAAAATGCATTGAAATTTGAAAAACAAATTGCAGGAAACAGTGCACTGCATTGAAGAGTATGCCAAGCTTTTTTTACCTGACCATAAAATCTTATTTATTTAATATTAAAAAGCGTTATTCGATTTTGTTTTCTAGGAAGTACCAATGGCGATCATGCTAGGTAAGAATTTGTAATATTTTCACTCAACACAAAATGAATCTGGAATATTACATTTAATAGTAAAGCCAGGATATACTTACGGGCTTGTTCCTTGCCAAATGTACCCATCTATCCACTGAAAAAACCTGGGTTATATTGTCCTCGCTTCATGACACACGTATTCAGAGCAGTGGAATTTAATGCGACTTGTTGTAGAAGCAGAGTTTTGTTCCTACCATAGGCAAATTGACAATTGTGGCTTTTATACTCTTACACACTTCATTGAAATGTTCATTTTTGTTTTTTTTTTTTGGCAGGACTCCAGTTGAAACTTTCAGTTCTCCAAGGAGATTAGACTTGATCATGAAAAGTCTTCATAATTCTCCGAAACCCCTGTTCCCCGTGGAAACCCAGACCCCCCCGGAATCCCAGGGTTTCTCCACAAGTAGCGAAGAAACGGACGTACGGAAAGGCTCCCCAATAGAACGTCCTGCTTCAAAAGCTGGTGACTTTAGCTTGTTGGAGTTTGAAGATGTCTTAGAAGCTAAAGATGGTAACTCAACTCCTGATAAAAGTGAAGATAAACTTGCAAATCGTTTGTTGTCAGAAAATATTGAGGCATCTCGTGATGTCAAGTCTCAGAATATGTACAATACTTTGAAGTTTGGTTATCAACAACGAATGAACTTTAACATGGATCAGGGGTCTGGCATGTTTCAGCAGAAACCCCGTGGGAACAAAAAGAAAAGGAAAAAGTGGAATCAAACCCAGGGTTTGTTCCAGCAGCAAGAAAGGAATAATCAAAGCTCAGGAGATTACAACTATGGAAATTATAACTCAAACTCTCAAATGAACTGTGGCCCACAACAAGGCATGGCTCAATGGGGGGTTCCTTCTCAGGGCAATATGAGTGCCCCTCAGAATTACCAAGGCAACCAGTTCTTCATTGGTGGACCTACAGGACTTGATCAGGGTCCAAGACCCCAGAATGTGGGACCTGGTAATTTTGTAGGAAACTTTTCACAGCAGGGTCCCCCTGTTCCTAATTTTAGTGTTCCTCCGCCAAATATTCCACCGATGGATTTTTTCCGCAAATTTCCTCCGCCGAATTTTCCTCAACAAGGCCAGCCTTCAATGATGCAGAACGTGCCGCAGAATCCTCTTATGCCTCAACAAGCTGTTCCTCCCCCGTCGCTTCAACCTAACCAGCCGCCGTTCTTCTCGCCGAACCCGCAGTCACCTTATAGTAGGCTCCCTCCTCCCCCGCCTTTTCAAGCCAACTTGCCCACCCCTCCTTCCCAGTTTTTGCAGTCTAACATCATGCAACAGCAGCAGCAGCCTCAAAACGTGCAGTCTACTTTCCAGTTTCCTTCGTTCAATTCTCCAGCGGCCCCGCCCTTAAACATGCCTCCCGTTCAACAGACGAGCCCGCCAGGGACTTTTCCAGTTACCGCGCAAGTTCAAGGACGTTCGTACGAACCTTCTCAGTCTACAGAGGCGGAGTCTTTCTCCCTCCAAGCTGTTGCTGTTTCAACCTCCTCAATAGATGCGTATAACACGAGAGAAATTTCAGAACCGTGGACACCATCGCCTGTGAAGAATAAGCCGATACATCTGCCTCCAAACTGGAAATCAGCGACCGACCCACAAGGAAAAGTTTACTACTATCATACGCAAACAAGGTGAGGAAATGACATTCAGTAAAATTTCCGTCTTGTGCAAAATACCGAAAAACAAATTTCAAAGAGGTTTCATGATTTCATCACCAGACAGACTCGAGCGTTGGAACTACATTACATATCCTTATCGCTACATTTAGCCTCCTAAGCAGACTTTCCTCTGGCTCGTCACGCAATCCTCTCCAAAGAGGAAGGAACGCGTGACGAAACCCTAAGATTGTATCCCTGGGAGACGCATTGGGGAGCGTAAGCAAGGAGTCTTTGAGCAGCGCATGCCAACCGGAAGTGGACTCTCTGCATTCTTGGCAGTGGATTGGCCCAAATTTGTAGGCAAATCGTCTCTATAAGAGTAAAGACTCTCAGCAAAACAAATTTTATAGCGTCAGGACATATTAAAAGGGAAAAGGCCTTACTTTCGATTGACGTGCGTTGCTCAAACACGTCTATGCTTAAGCTCCCCGTTATACTTGCTAAATGCACCTATTGTGGGGGGGGGGGGCAGTTTTAATACCAAAAGTAGCAAGTTGAAAAGTGCTCTCCACTACTCACTTTTTCTCATCCTTTCCACCGTCAGGTGTACTCCAGCTCTTCCCTGAAACCCTCGCCCTCTGTCGTGCATCACAAAAAATGATCTTTATTCATTGTATTTTTCTAAAGGAAAACGCAGTGGGAACTTCCAAGGTGGGAAAGCAGTCCCTCATCAGAAGAAGATCAGCTAGGCAGTATAACGGTACCAGAGGACACAAGTATAACGCCTCAGAGATACAACAGCATAGACGAGGTAACACTTGTGTCATTTTAACGGCGAATTGTATTTACAGTTGACTCCCGGTAACTCGAACCTTCTAGGGAAATCGAAAAAAGTTCGAATTATCGGGAGCTCGAGGCAAATACCCGGCAATAGGAAAATGAGCAAATGGAATGGGGCGAGAATGCAAGTATCATGCACACTTCACTTCAAGGGCAGCAAGAGATATACATCGATATTTTTAGCAAGGAATTAAGCAACAAAGTTTATGCATGAATGGAAACTGAATTTGAACTGGACTGACAAAAAAGTACAGGCAAAGAATTCATGGTTGTTTTAAAATAAAGTCAATGTTTCGGCCTTCAGTAGAGTGGGTTTTTTTTGCCGACTTGAAACATGGTTTGAGTTATGAAGAAATGATCTGAAGGGAAACAAAAATTACTTCGAGTTAGGGGGAGGTTTGAGTTGTCGAAGGTTTGCGTTACCGAGGGTAAAATTACAGTAAATGTGTGAAGGAAATGTAGGGAAAATTAATTTTGGTTCGAGTTAGCGAGGGTTTCGAACTATCGGCAGTCAACTGTACTGAATTTGTGACAGGAATTGTTCTCTGAAAATATCATTTTGGGTTTCTAAGAAACTGCCCACCTACCCCTCCCCTAAGCCAACATTATCACTTACTTCTCACTTAAGGCAAAATGTGTGCGTAGGGGAGGGGTTGGTGGACAGTTTCCCAAAAACCTAAATTGATCCCAGTTATCATTTTGTGAATCTTGTGCAGGTTTCTTCGCCGAAAGCAAAGGTAACGAAGATTGTGAAGACACCATCCACACCTCCAGGGACCCCCCCTGAAAGTCCGACTCTCACCACTGCCCCAGCGGATACTACAGCGCACAGGAGGGATGAGGAACACATGTTGGGAAGAGAGGATCCCTCGGCTGGTCCATCATCGCAACAGAGCAAGATTAGAGAAATGTTTAGAATGAAGGTAGGTGATGAAAAAACTTAATTATCAACCCTTCACTCTTAAGAGTGACCAACACCAATTTTGTCCTAACAGCATCCTTACATTATCAATAGAAAAGGTTATGAGAATTGGTTAAATTAAAACCAAGGGAGAAGTGCTTTGATCTTTTATCAAATTCTCTCAACGGCTTCTTTAAGGAAGTGTATGGAGATCAGTGTGGAGAATTTCTAAGTGGATATTAGGGTTTAAAGCGTTCGTTGATAAGGAAAATACTTAAGTAAATTCAGGTGGATCGTTCAATGTGACGAACACGTGGCTGAGTTTTAGCGTCGATTCTGCCTAAATTATTCTGATTTAGAGTTGCGTTCAGTAGAGAATCTGAATTAATTCATAGTTGCTTTGAATTTTCATTCGTGGGCTTTGCATTGGCCAAAAAATATCACGTGACGCAACTTTGTCAACCAATCATAAATTAAAGCAAGACCAAGTCGTGTCTAACGCGCGCGCGCATTCCCGCGTTTCTGATTGGTTCATTGCTTTCTCCTCTTATGTTCTGATTGGCGTGAACTATTTAAAACTATCAATTTGATGTGCTCTTTTTGTAATTTGTAATAGTAAAGTTGCTGACACAGGAATATTTTTCGTTTACTTTTTGATTATATTTTGCAGCTTTCCAATGTAGTTGTCAACTGTCTGAACCCTTTTTTCAAAGTGGATTGTAAGCTAGGCAGGATATTGACTACAGATGACTTCAAATATTTAGCTAGGAAGGTACGTTTTTTTTTCGATAAATCGTCAGGACACCCACATCCCCCCCTCCCCCATGCTTTTTACGCCTCATGGTCTGTAGATATGTGCCCGGTCAGTCGACCCAGCCCGGTATTCCTTTGTGCAGACAGCGTGTACGAAATGTGAAGCTCGCGGTCTTCTGTACTGCAGTGAGCTCTGAATGTTTTCTTCACTATTTATTCAGCACCAGCCACGTGGCCTAGGTCGGACACGTGCTTGTCCTTTCAAAACAGAAAATGTTTTTGCAGCCCTGCTGCGAGTTTAATTGGTGATAACAACCATACTCATCTTCTCTACGTCGTACCTCAAGTAGCCCGTCAAGTTCATTGGAAAAGTACTTCACTTTGTTTAAAGTCTTTTCATTTATTTGTTTATTTGTTTATTTATTTATTTGTTAAAATCTACATCGCTAAACGGAGGTGGGTGCCTGGAGTGTACAGGGGTTTCCACTTTTGGTAGCAGGCCCTAGATTGAAAAACGCCCTCATGGCTGGGTTGTCTTGTTGTGCCAGCCATGAGCCCCCACACAAAAGGAAATAAACACGTACCCGTCACAAGTGGGGAAAGAACACCAGGGAGAAGAGGGAGGGGAAGAAAATAGATGAAACAAACCTCGTGGCATGATCGATGTAGCGAGCTACTGGGCATGTGCGTGCCAAAAGACCGCTGACCTCTGGCACTGAGGACGCTGTTATTTGCTAACTCTTGTAAACTGCATTAAATGCATGTTATTTATTTATGTTTTATTTTCTTTACTTTTCAGTTGACACATGGAATTCTAATGAAGGAGCTGCACCACTTAAAAGACGAGGAAACGTTGCAGTGCAACGACTCCGTTAAGATAAAAACTAAGGAGTATATTCGAAGTTATATGAAAAAATTTGGACCTGTGTACAAAAGAACATAGCTCACTGGCTCTCTCCTCCGTCGAGCCCTCCGTGTCGTAGGGAGGCTGGGGAGAGGATAAAAAGAGAGCGCGCGGGGGACGATGGGAAGGGGAAAGAAAGGAAGCGAGGCTCCCGCCTTTTTTCTCTTCCCATCGTCCCCCGCGCGCTTACTATTTTTTTCTATGATTGTTCCTTTTTTTTTTCGTCGGAGGGATAGGGGGGGGGGGGTGGTGTACCCAGCGGGATCCTCTGCGGAGGAGAGAAGCTCACTATCTATAGGTTAAATGTATTTACTTTGTATATATTTTCAGACTAGCATACACGTCTTTTAAATTGTTTTATGGTTTTAACACGTTTTTGTATATATATATGCTGGGAACCCAGTTTGTAGGTCTTGTGTACAGCCAAGGATTTTATCTGCTCTTGCTTGAACCTATGCATCACGAAGGACGGTTGGAAATTCAACGCACTTGAGCACTTTTTCTTGTACGAGGACATTTGTATTTGACTTCAAAATCTAATAGGAATTTGTGTATATAATTTATCTTTACTTTAGTGGACTGTCTCGCAACGGAAGTCTTCGTGTTTAGAATTTTAGCTAACCATAGGGAAAATTTCCACTGTCGCGTAATTTTCGCGTGCGTAAACACGAAAATTTTACGCGTTCAAAAATCATAATAGAGGCAATGTATGAAAGGCTGCTCGTAAACTTTAAAGTTGAGCGAGGTTCAACTTTTACGTTTACGCGTGACCATCCATACATTACCTCTATTTTACCAATCACGCTCGTAAAATTTATGTGCGGACGCACCTGAAAATAACTTGACAGTGGAAATCCACTCTCAGTGTCGATTCCGCCAATGGTGACTGCGTTCTGCCTAAGATGTTAGGGACTTTAAGATTCAACGACGCGGACGACAACGAGAAGGTAAAAAAAAAAACAATAGGTTTAATTAGCAAAAAAACAACGTCGCACGTGCATCGCACTTTTTTTGTACATTTCTTTCCCGTTTTTGCACGACTACGACGTGAAAATGCCTAATTTCGCGTTTTATGGAGGACGTAAACAAGCAACGACGAAATTTTATTTCTCTTTCCGAGCTTGAATATGGTCCCTTGAAATTCAGCTTCAGGAGGGTTCGCCTACAATTGACAAAGTAAGTGGATAGGAATAATCACTATAAAGACTGAAAGAACGCAAATTCACCTGTTAAGCGACGTTCTTGTCACCGTCGCGTCATTGGATCTTAAAGTCTCTACTTTCTTTAGCAACACCAAAGGTTGGCTTTGCTCTTCAATGCTATTATTTATTGCGTTTTGAACTCGTCGAGTGAATGTAGACAGTCCTTCATGATTAATCGGTTTGTGTTCATATTCTGTGATATATACATGATGTACACCTTTGTTAGTTCAATAACTTATATTCTTTCAACGTCGTTCGTTCTTACAGTCTTCATCACGTTCAAAGTAACCAGAGCACTTCTGTTTCTTGTAAAAATGCTTAGGTGTTTTAAAACTTGTCTTTGCGCTAGAAGACGAGGTTGTATTTTTTAATGGTTGTTTAGTGTGTCCTTTTTGCCTAGTTGCCTTTTTTAAAAGATATTTTCGCAGAAAAACCTTACTTCAGGACGGCGCTATTTTGTAAGCTTTTCACATGCGTCAGAAAGAAGATTCTTGCGCGCGCGGATCACGTGGAGGGCAGGGAACGCGGAGCGCGATAGGCGTATCTTTCATTTCGTGTGGGCAAGCCTCTTTCCTGCACTTCAGTATGTAGAAATTTCAATTTCTTGTTGTAGCTTTCTTGTACTAGTATCGTATCTTTTGGCAAAACTCGGCCGCTCTTAGGGAATTTTCAATCATACTAGCCTGCTAGCAAGTTCTCCGGGCGCTCTGGCGGCGAGGCTCGCTCACTGGCTACAACCATATAAACACTGCCATTGGATATTCAAGTTGGATTGGACACTGCCTCTCTAACCCTTTAAGCTGCAAGAGTGATCAGCATCAACTTTCTCCCTGTAATATCGATGCTTTGTAAAACAGAGTGGTCATGAGAGTTACGGACATGATCACACAAGATTTGATTGATATTTTATCAACTTCTCCCCACTACTTCTGTAGGGAATGAATAGGGGCAACAAATGAGAATCCAAATTTTGATCTTATGGTTTAAAGGGTGAAAGAGTCATGTGGTAAAAAGGAGTAATAGGGTATGCTTAAACGTATTGTCAGAGGTTAAGGAGTTGATTAAGCAAACTATTCGAGATGCTTGGCGACTGCCATTGAAAGCAACAAATGTTCTACAAAAAACTGATTTACTTGTTATTTATCTGGAAGATGTCTCATAAATGTTTATTGCCATCTAAACTTACCAAATACAACGAACTCACGAACTGAATCTGCAGTGTTTGTTTTCTTCTCGTCTTTTTATTTCCTTTTTTATTCAAGTTCTTCTTATTTATACAACCGCTTTGCGCGGTTATTTCTCTGCGGAACGACCCCTTCCGTGGCTGTTTGGTTTCCCGTTGCAAGTCAAGTAAAGTTCCCAAGGTCTGTAGTCGTTCTCTCGGCAGTGAACCACTAAAGTCTCAACACTCGAGGCTCTTTTTGAAAGATTTTACGGCTGTGAAAAAGTCGACAAAATTTCCCCGTTTTGTGAATGATTAATATTTAAAAGACAGTGCATTCAAAGCAGTTGAAAGGAAGCTAAGTTCTAAACTTGTTAGTCAAGGAGCTATTTTCTGAAAAGCTTTATTTAAAGAGTTGGTTCAACCCGCCCAACGCAAAAGGTCCAACACCAGATTTATATATATAGCAGAGAAACTGCTCTTTCAAGTTAAGTACTATGTAGTTCCGAAATGTGGTACCACTAACCAGATAAGAGGGGGAGTTTTTTTCTGAAATATGTAGGTTTGTGAAAGGAGTACCATCTGTCAATGGAAGGTATACGAAGTGGGTTCTTTTTCTGTCAAATATGGTACCCTACATAAACATGGCGGATACGGACATTCTGATAACGGGGGGCGGTCATCCAGCGATAAGGGGGATGCCCGGTCTAAATAAAAAAATGTTTCGGCCCTTCGGGCCTCAGTTTGGTCTAAAAATAAGGGGGGGAGGGGGGCCGGGCTCCCCGAGCCCCTTCCCTATATCCGCCACTGATGAAAGGGTAAAGAGGTTGGACCTCGAGGTAGAGCCTCCCCGTATAAAAGTTACCTTGAGTACCCGTCCCTCCCCAGAGAAAAACGCCTCCTGATTTCGTTTAGGTTGCGAGGTCATTTTCCTAATCAACTTTTAGATAGCCTGCGCGCAGACGAAATTAAACTAATCAGAGTTTAGTTATCGTCTGCAGGCAGGCTACTTTTCAGGACTGAGAGACAAAAAAAGTATAGAATGTAAATAAGAATTTATTATCGAGTATATTGCTACGATGAATAGCGTGCTTTTAAAGAGTGGCATACCAATTAAGACTCGCTCATGCAGCTGGTCAAGGTTCGTAACCGAGTAGTGAGTTCAAACAGACCTAATTTTGTTGTCGTATTGTTTCTCAACAAAGGCTTCCTCTTCAACGCTTGAACAGTGTCCATTTAATCATTTAAGTCAACAGAAAGGGCTGCCCTGCACTAAAAATTAGCATTAATGTCATTGTTTTTGACTTCTCCCTATTGGAGGCCTTTGTAGGCAAGCTGCGAGTTCTGTCAAAAGCCGGAACTGCTTGGCTAAACTATGAAATAATCACCATAGCAATTTTTAGACAGCTTTAACGTAATGGCACTGAAGCAATTATTCATGAGGAAACCGCTCTCTTTTCAAAACGCATCGAAGCTTGGTCTTCATCCTTTCCGCGTTGCGTAGTTGCCGCAAATACGCAATGCGCAAATATTGCTAATTTATGGAACCCAGGGAACATGAACACTGGCCATTTGTAGAACTGGATGGCCTCTCCGATTCAGGATTCGAAGATCTACTTTGTAAGTACAGCGGGTGATAATTTTTGACCGGGGTTGATTCAAGGCAATTTACCTTATTGGCTAAATTTTACATGTCCCCTAACTCTTTGTTTACAAACTTAAGGCAGAAATGTTAAGTTGAATGTTTAGATCCGCAGATGGCGTGGTTTGTTTAATTCTGTGGAACCCGCCGCTAAATTCTGATGGTTCTATCTATTTTTATAAATTTGCAATATCTCCTTAGCATCAACTAGATTAAGAATCTTTTTTATTATCACTTTCCAACTATCAGGGCAAGTTCTTATAGGTCTACCATTTTGCCCTATATTTCTCTCTTATTTCTCATTTCTTTTTGGTAGCGGTTGAATTTGTGGAGAAAAAAATACTGTGCTACTATCCGTGGGACTAAAGATAGACTTTTGCGCAAATCGGAATATCGTACTCAGTGTGAATGTTCTTTTTGAAATTGTCATCTGAGAGACGTGTTCGAAACTACCTAAACAAAAAGAGGTCACACTCGGGTTGGACAGTGTGTTATGACATAGACATGGTTCAGTGGAACACCTGATACAGTGTTACATGGCCGTAACAATTTCTTCCGATCGATGTTATATTTTTGCATTCTAGTGAAAGTAAACCCATGGGCTTTGTGAAAACTAATTAAAAACCAAACATTCAAACATTGACGTTTTTTTTATTGACAATAATTAATGTACACTAATATTTGCGCGATTATGTACATTGCAGTCCATGTACGTGCGTAGAGACACGGTTTGCGTACTTCGACCGGCAGCCCAGCATATCACGATCACGATCAGCAGCGGGAGTTTCTCCTGAGAATATCACGGGTTTTTGGTAGCTGGACAATCTTTCCCAATACGGATCTAAAGCTAGGCATACCTACCCTAAAGAAATCATTGTAAAAGAATTTTCATCAAAGTAATGAGATAAAGTGCAGCTAGAAGTGCTTAGGAATTAAGTTTAAGTCTTTCGGCTCTTGCGTTGCTAACTGGCCCTTTGGAAAGACCTTGTATGTCATTTAGACCGCGAGCAGTCTCTTATTTTTCTTTGCAAAGTTACTAATCCCTTATTGTAATAATAACATCGTGGTTTGCTGTCGCACTGGATGAGATAAGAACTAGACGGATTTTAAGAGAAAAGGCGGACTGCAAGCATTCTAATGTCATATTGATTTCAAAACGTGTCCTTTTTACTTAAGCTCATTTATGAGGTAGAAACTGACTATATGTTGTGGCTCCCGACTACTATGGGCTGCTTTATTTTCTAGCTTTAGCACCTTGATATTCTGATCGGCCTTTAATCATAGAGTTAAATCCCGAAAAGCATCTGTTTTAACACTGAGTACACGTAGGTTCAATTTCTACTCAGCTAGCCCCTGTAAACGACAGAAAAGAATAGAAGAGAGTGTGGAAGAAGAAAAGAAAAGAGTGATAATGATGATGATGATGATGATGATGATGATGATAATGTTTATCGGTGAACCATGTGAATTAAGTAATGACCACTTTACACAAACAATCATACTAAGTGAAATTTTCAGTTTCTTACATTTTATAAATTACAGCGACGTTGATGAAAGCTTTATTAACCGATGTCACTTCATTAAAAAAGTTCTTCCAGAGAGCAGTTTAAATAATCATATGGGATTGCTACAGAGCAGCAACGACGGCTCAAGCAACGCTTGCCAGGCCCAAAAGAGCTTGTTTATCGAGTCCAAAAGTGAACTAAAAGCCTAGTCAGTCTGATCCAGGCATTCAAATAGTGTGGAATGTAGCGTTGAGGGACAGGACACCTTTGGAGCAGGCTTAGAGAAATGTGCGCCAGTTACAGTACTCAGTTCGATGTCCTGAACATCAAAACTGGGTAACCTGTGTCCTGCCGAGATCATACTGGAACCTACCCTCCCCTCCTGAGTATTACATCATCACATGAAACTGAGGCAGTTTCAGTGTGATGAATGTGGAGCGCGTGAACGAAATATTTGTAGCAGTTTTCACGCGTTTTCAACGGTTTGTTTGACTCGGTTTGTTATTTTGATCTCATGAAAACAATGCCGAAGTCTTAAACACTGCCTTTGAGCGAAGGAGATAGCGTAATAACCTTCCGGTGATTCGTAAGCTCATTAACATCGTGACAAGGGAGTTTACTTACCGGCATCTTTGAGATTTCAATGGTTTTTCCTTGATCGAACTTTGGATCGGTTCTGTTTCGGTGCTCGTGCTTTCCGCTAAAGACGGAGAAGCTGGCGGGGTTGGAAATTATCAAACATTCCTCGTTTATACAACATGGGGGATCCACTTGCAGTATGGAGGAATGCGAAACGAAAGACAACTTTTGTGCGAACAGTGACGAGTCCAAAGATGGCAACTCGATTGCTTCGGATATTGTCGAAGACAGAGATACTGGCTTTGTAGAAGAAACCCTGTCGAATTCAGATAATTTCGAGATTGAAAGCGGTGTGGAAAGTGCGACTGGAGATGTTACTGAGGCTGACTGGACGGAACTGGCTGAATTGTTGGATCTGAATTCGTATCTCTCCGGCTCGGATGAAAGTTTACGTTTGGGCGACCTCGACTTGACCACCGAACAAGCACAAGAAACGCTGAAGTATTTCAGTGAGTATTGCGATGTGATATATTTGATTTCAAATATTAATACTGGGAGAAAATTTATTGCTAAACGCTTGTTGTGTTGAAGCAAAAAAGCCTTGTACCAAATTCTTCAGTAAGACAAGCTTTGTTTTGACGATTTTTAAGGCAAATGTTTAACCTTGATTTGTATATTTATAAAACCAGCGAACGGGTTCAACATTAAGCTTAGACAAGAAAAATAGTGAAAGGTCTTTTTCTTAATATTATATTGTGTCCTCCAAAATAATTTCAGTTCCTAATTGTTTCAAACCAGAATTGAAATTGAAGTACAAAACATCTGTGCTTTGTAAGTTCTTTATTAGAAGCGGATTATTTCCTCTTTTGCTTATGTAAACGGCCGAAGGGTTTTTGATTGAATTGTAAATTTAAAGTTATCAATATGGAGGCGTGCTCTTGATCTTGAATACTTTGACTTTTGATATTTTACATGTAAACTTCATATATGATGCCAGTTATTTAATCGTGTTCACAAGACAAAGCTCCAGAAAATTTAGCACTTTGTCTATTTATCCAATCTTTTGTTTACTTAATTTGACTTGGATTAAGTTTATAAAGTCTTTTTTTTTGACATGTTTTGTTTACGAAAAGTCATAAGCTCTCAACTATGATAATATTAAACCATTTCCGCATGAGTCCACTCTATAAATGTATACAAAGAACTTTACACAGTTTATGTTGTGGGTAAAATTTCTTCTTATGTTTTAACCAGTATTCAACCCATTAAGGATTTAAGTTTTTGCTAGACGGTTTTTACCTTGGTTCTGGTTTAAAAAGTAGCTAAAACATTTACATGTATCCACATCAGAACAATATTATTTTATCTATTGACAAACTTCTCCACTCTTCTATACTGTCTCTATAAACATCCACTTATAATTTTTCATGTGTGGAGGAAAGCGGTCTGAAATGCATCAGTTTTATGGACGTCTGTGGGCATGACCTCTAACATCAATAATGCAGGCTTTTAAGTCTCCCAGTGTGAGTTTAACATGGGATTTTCCTCTGATTAGCTACCTCATACAGTCTAGTCAATGTATTTGGAGCGGAGTTTAGAGACTTGACCAATAAAGTCAGTCTATGACAATCATGTGCAACTCTTCTGTTGTCAGTCTGAGATGCCCAGGGTTAAGGTTTAGGAAAGCTCCAAAGTGGCCAAAGTCACAATTCAAGAAAGTTTTCAATTTCATTTGATAAAATGCTAACAAATACAAGTAATAGTACCATGTGAAAGCACTGCCAAAAAGTTTCATTTGCATGATCACACCAAACGATTTGAGCCCCATTCTCCAAAGCTAGAATCACCATACAGGACTTCAGTGTTCACTGTGGTAGTAAAAGCAGGGCATATCTAATCTATAGAAATTGATCATCGAAAATTATGTAATCGATTAATCGATAATACTCAATAGTACTCGATATTTGTCGATTGATTAGTCAATTTAATATTGATTGAAATCGATAATCACAAATCTTTTGTCACATCTATGGAAATTGAAAATCAAAAACATGATCTGATCTTATCATAACACTTCGTAACACTTACCTTCAAGCTTACCTTCAAATCCGCTTTGTTGATAAAGATGATGTTGCTTCTTTCTCCAATGGTAGCATTTCCTTTTTGATCGTTGTTGAACAAATCGTTAAGATCAATAGCTAATTACAGAAATCGATCAAAATTGATAATCACAAAGATGTGAGTGATCGATTTCTATCAATTTCCGATAGTAATCGATTTCTATTGAGTATCGAAAATATCGATTAGATACGCCCTGGTAAAAGGCTTAATTTTTTCTACCTGTCTTTTATAATTTGGCTGTGTGTGTTTTTGATTTGTTTCACTTTCCACATGGTAAAGGATTGTTACCATACAGTTTGATTGTTTTCATGAATGATGCAGATTTCTCTTACGCAAACTGCTCACTTTTTATCTAGACCGCTTACTGGTGCTAGAAGGTTGTACTCAAACTAGCTTTTATACGAGATGGGCTTATTTCGAAAAATTGCCTGCCCAAATTTCTGTATTCATATGGTTGATTCTTTGTCAATAACATCTAATACATATAATAGTAGATAGTTGGATGATTTCATTCTGTTTTGAATTTGACAATTTTTTTATGTGTTCAAGGTTTTTATGTCTAAGAAGTCATTGTTTCCTTGTATATTTAAATGTAGTTTTTACAGGGCAAATTTGATTTCAGGTTAATTTTGATTAAACTTAGGTTGATTCTGAATTTCCAATGTCCCCTAGCCCTAGAAGACCAACAAAACTGAGAACCAACCTAGGTTAAAAAATTTTAACGTGAAATCAAATTTCACATGTAACATATTCAGAAAAGTTATGCATAATGATATTTTTGCACACTAATATTATTCATGGAAATTTCACCTTGATTCAGGAATGCTTTGCTCTGGGTATCCAGTCATGAAATTTTGAAATTAATTTTTTTCAGAGATTTATTTTTGCAACCATTTACTGTGTGTCACTATTTTTCTCACAACTGCTTTTTTTAGTCAGTGTGATATTTATTATATTCCTGGGGATTTTCAAAACTCTTTTAAATCCAAACGTAGACTTAACTCAGATCTATACCTGCACTTTGTGGTTTACATACTAGCATATATTAATTTTAATTGTTTGAACTACATTGTATCATTAAACCAGTTGGAAAAAATATTAAAGAAGGAAATAAAAAGAACAATTTACTTTTTAAAACTCAATTCTTAAAATTGTTTTGTCCACCTTGAAAAAAGATATCAAGTTTGCCATAATTTCTGATAGGTATAAATTAGATGAAGTTTGACACAATGTACACTGAATGCAAATTGTAAATATTCGGGTAGTGTTTTAAGGGTTGAGATTCAATCTGTCTCTTTAGACAGGTGATTCATTCAGATAGAACAAAAGCTTGATGAATGGCTCTTTTATTTCAATTGAATGTTATTGTTCTTACCACTTTCCAAAGAAAGCATGATACTTGATGAATTATTGATAACTTTCATGCCTACTAAGTGTCTTGGCAGTACAATAACGTACTATATACTGAAGTGCAAATTTAATTATGTCTGGAAATTTATGGGAAGGAGGTTTAGTGCTGGAGTCAGCAAATTTGTATGGTTAATACAGTGTGGAAGGGGACATGTTTTCACACTCAACCCAACATTGCTGGAGAAGTTAATGTCATGACACATTGTAATAATATATTATTACAAGATGATTTGCTAAGTTTGGTGCTAACAAAACTCAGTTTTCATGCATCAGTTTGAAGGTCAGGTTTGGGTGAGAAAGATGATGTGATATGGCACCAAGCACAAAGTTTATGTTCACTTCATGTTTTAGAACAATATTATTTTTCAGTAGATTTTGTTCTTCAATGATATTGATGTGGAAAGTGAAAATTCCATGAAATGACTCTACTACATGTAGTACTTGATGTACACATTACTATTGCTATTTAAAGAATTAAGCTTTGCTCTCTTTAATTTTTTTCTTTTACAAATCTTAATGGCATAAGCAGGTGATTATTTTTGTTCTACCTATTATTATTATTTTCTTGGACAGGTCACTTTTGAATACCATCTATTTTAAAACTTGCAACATATGTCACCCCACACTTGGCAATAAATATAATTTTGACATAATTTTAGTATGTAATAGTTAGCAGATAACAGTGAATTTGTTAAGTAAATGCACATATTCATTGTACAAATGTCAAAGACCCAGTCAGAGATATGCAAATTATATTATTTAGTAACATCGTAATACCTGTTGTTGTTGTCCCAGGGTGAAAGGGAGGCAATCTTCTAGGGTTACATGTATGTGTAACATTGAATATTATTATTATTAATTGCCTAACCTAAGTTAAAAATTGTCAGATAATGCATGCAGATATTTGGAGTTACACAGTACAGTGTGTTTTAATTATTGTGATCTCCTAGACTGACGCAAGAAAAAATGTGAGCAATGAGTCTAATATCTGTGTGTTATCTGTCAAACCATCAGTTGATTTTAAAGGTTTTATTCAAATCCTGAGAACGTTCTACTTTGCAATCTCCAAGTTAGCCTTGAATTGTTGTCCTGAGTTGCATTCACAATTTCACTGTCAAATTGTGTCTTTTTACATTGTGGTATGGGTGTATATTGGGACTGTTCTCTCAGTAGAGTGATGGCAAATTTGAATGACAATATTGTTGGTATTTTTATTTTTACAGCATTAGCGTCAGACAGAACTAACCAAATGACCAAGACCCATAATGATCTTGATGCTATTCTACAACTCTTGCAAGAGGTGAGTTAAATTTTCTCTGATTAATGCAACTTGGTTCTATAATAACGGTTATACAGTAATGGCATCCATGGCAAAAAAGACGGCCTGGGTTGGCTTATTGAGTTGTCTAAATCTTGTACGAGGTGGATTCTCAATGCTCAGCATTTAATATATTATATAAAATAACGTTATGTTCCCAAAGTAACAACCCGCTTAAAGTAGTGACCTTTGAAAAGGCGTGATAAAATTTCCCAGGTGTTAGCAAATGCCAAAAGTAGCGACCCTCCGAAAATAACAACCCTCCGAAAGTAGCGACTTCAAAAGTTATTTTTCTTCTTTCTAGAAATAATGGAAATTATAGTTATGACAAGCTTTCCCAAACTGATCCAAGATTTGTTTTTTAACAGCTGTAATGATCTTTGACATTCCTTTAACTCAAAAGGTTCATTACATGTACATCTTTTTTTTTCAGAAAGTCTTCCTTTCGTCTGTGAATACCCACACCGTAATCAAACGATTCTTTAGAATATTTATTTAAAAAGCAAGGACATGAAAATAGGTTCTCCAAATAATTAGTGTGGCTGTTTTCACAATTGTCGTGATATTATTATTGTAACTTCGCACGGCCCATGTACGATACACGGTTTAGCTACCCAAAGGTAGCTACAATGTATAGGAAAAGGCTGCTAAATCCGAAAGTAATAAGGGTTGTTACTTTAGGAACTTTATGGTATGATTTAAGTATAATTTGTATGACATGACACCAATACAGTGTTGTCTATTGCTTTACAGTCAAGCCAGGTCAAGCTAAGCTTATCCCCACAGATTCCATTAATGAACTGTCCATTTTAAAAACTGAGTTAGTTTTTGCTGCTAATATTATCTTATTCAAATCTGAATTCCTTCATGCACAAAGAGCTAAGAAACTTTTGACTATTAGTTCTCTGTATATATTTGGTGAGTTTGAAAAACCTTTCATTTTTTAAATAGATCATACCAGTATATCAACTTCTAAATGAAGGCTGGGGAGCTTTTTATCCATTGGATAGCGTTTTTAAATTCTAAACACCCATGCCAGACTGATCACTGTTAAATTCATATTTCAGTGGCTTTTACTAGTAGAGATAGCTTTCAATGATTAATTTTTTTCCCTCCAAATTTTTGGTTAACAGAAAGAGAAAGACCTGGAGCTTGCTGCCAGGATTGGACAGGTGGGAACTTCTACATTGTCAAATACTACAGCTTCATGTTAAATTGATATTCAAGTTTTTGTTGATGACTGTAGTCTCTGATCTACAGTCCCTGTTTGTTTCAATGTAACACATTGCTAAGAAGCTGTCGTGCAAGAATCAGCCTGCTGACTTATTCCAATCTCTACCACTGAGCAAGGACTAATTTTTACCTGTCTGGGTGCTATAATTAATAAATATTATAAATAATAAATAAAATTTATTTTCTCTTGAGGTACACAGGTGCCAACTTTTCGTTTTGTTACTCTTCTAGTCCTTATTGGAAAGAAACAAGCAGCTATTGGTTAAAACGCAAGCTTTTGAAAGTTTTGTTGCTGAATGTGATGAAAAGGTCAGTAGAAGTATGTTTAAGGGGAGCTGTCATTAAAGTTTTAAGTGGCTTCATGGTCTCTCATGGAAAGTAGTTATTTATCCGACAGATCCTCCTTTAGGTTGAGGATGGTATTAAACTCGGGTTATTGGTCTGATTGGGACAGTCCTATTCAGGACTACGTTCACCTGGATGATCAAACCCAACCTACTTTTGAAATGACTCCTGGGTTCAAACCTTTCACAAATCCCCCTTTGTTTGATATGTTTGACTCATTTTCAAAGTTATAGAAGCAGGCTAAATTTGCTGCAGTAGCTGGCCAACAAAGCTGGCTGCTAATGAGTTCAATAATCAACTTGTTTTATAAACTAAAAGAAAAATTTTGTCTCATCAGGAAACCCAGCTTCAGCATGAGGTGTCTATGAAGAATGAACTGCTTCAGAAATTTTTGAGGGATCAAGAATTAGAAGAGTACTATCAGCTGTCTCATCGCTCAGATGAAGACAGTCGAAGGTGAGCTGAATTACGCCATTTTAAAATGACAATCAGTCTTTACTCACGGTGTCACTTCATTAAAAATACACTAACGTAAGTATCTGATTTAATTACTCTCCACAAGGGGTAGGCTCATGAGAGCATATAGCATAGACCAGTAATACAATAAAACAGTATCCTCTTAAAAATATTCCACTTAATATGAATTGACATATCTAGAGATCCAATGAGATTTCTTCAACCATGGCCTAGATTAGACTTTGTACAAATAGCCAAGTAGTTTTCAAACCATGCTGTCCTGGGACTGCTGGTTAATAAGTGGATCCCGCAAATAAGTGACAAGTCATTTACCCTGCGAGCAGTGGTTTCTCCAAGCCGGATGCTACGCTACGAAGGGATAGAACTCTCCCTTCATAGCGTAGCATCCGGCCTGGAGAAACCACTGCTCGCAGGGTACAAGTCATTAAGCTAAGCCCTAAAATGTGTACAATTCTCTTCTTTTTGCAGCAGCGACAGTTTTTGCAGAGATGAATCAATCAACTCATTACAGCAGAAATGTGAAGCCTTGGAGCAACAGAACACACATCTCATCTTAGAGGTATGACAATAAATAACCAACAGTATACTGAAGGTGATTCTTACAGTGCGTAAAAGTATTGGTTAAACCACTGGGATGTCTCATATTTAGGTGTCTATAAACTGATTCTTTAGCTCTGGAAATTACAAAGATTTACCATAGACTTGTTTGAATGAATTTTGTAGGCTTTGCAGATAAAGGAGGAGACAGCCTCAGCTGAAATGAAGGAGCAGCAACTGGTCTTAGATTGTGTCAAGCAACTGGGTAAGTGAATAAGGGTTCCCCAGAAAATCTAAAGTAAAAGGAGAAAAAAGTTAAGCAGGTGGAAATAAATTAACTCGAAATCACAGAGGGTAGGTATGGGAGGGAGTTGGCCCCCATCTTTTGGCGAACTCTAGGGCTTTTCCCAGGAAAAGCAGCTACAAACAAATACTTTTGTACTCTGAATTAAGACTTCGCAAAATGATTTCATTTAATGATAATATCATTTTTTGTCTTTGATAGTTGAAGCAAAAGATCAGATAAGTTCCCTGACGGATGAGATTTCTCAGAAAGCAGAGGACAATATCAGGCAACAGGTATATATCATTTTCTTGAACAGAATACAAAATAAGGGTCTTATTTTTGGTTGTGTGTGCAGCCTTTCACTTGAAAGCATACCTAAAAGAAATCCTTTTTTTTAATTTTCATTACTTAATTTCAGCTCAGTACTTTCTCCTTTTTTTGATCATGCAAAGTTTGTAGTAAAAATCTTATTTTCTTCCAATTAGAGCAATAAACATTGAATTCTCTTTTGGTATAACCTAGTTGCCACCACAAGTTTTTCTGAAAAACACTGTTTGAAGCTACAGACTAGTTGTTTCCTGGTCAGCATCTGGCCAAAACAGGAAGAGACTTCCCAAAAGGTTGTTTACAAGTCGAGCACTATGTTGTTCTTGATGCTAATTATTATTATTGGTTCCAAAGTCCAGGCTTGCTGCAGAGGGCAAAGTTTCCTCTCTTGACTTTTACCTTTTGGTTTCTCTACTTCCCCTTTTTTTTCTTCTCCCTTTTCCTTTCACTGAACATTTACTAGGCTTCATTTTGGTTGGAAGTTTCCATAAAAATGCGGAATTTAGTTGAGTTTATTCAAAGGTACAATGTAAATGGTTTAAGAAATTTAAAGCAAAGATTTTTTTTTGTATTTCAGGAAGAAATCACCCATCTAATAACAACAGTTGTGGATCTTCAGAAAAGGCACAAGGAAGTAAGATTATCCCTTTCAAGCCTCAATGTCCGCGGAGAAATTCTCTTTACTGATCTCTGTGCATTTCCTTAAGAATAAGTAGTGAGAATGTGATAAAAGATCAAAGCATTTTCCCTTTGATGATCATTTTATTAATTCTCATAGCCTTTGCTCTTGATGTTGTACTGATATTGTCAGGAGGAATTTGCTGTTGGTCACTCTTGGGACTTAAACAGGGTTTGTACAGAGTCTTGAATTCTTGAAAAAGTCTTGGAATTTGCCCAGCAATTTTCCAGACTTGGAAAAAGTCTGGAAAATAGAGTTAAAGTCTGGAAAAAAATGGTTAAAAGTCTCGAGGTTTTTTGAAAGCTAGAACAAGACTTTACAAGTGAAATTTTTTTCCTGTTGGTCAAATCGTATTCAATTTTACCTGTATGTTTGCAGTGCATCATTGAAAAGGGTTTGTTTCTGGTTTTTTTAAGGTCTATATTGATCACCTATTTGATAACCTTGTGTCTGGAAAAAGAAATTATTGTTTTGGAAAAAGTCTGGAAAAACTCTTGAATTCTGGATCCAAAAATGTGCAACCCAAGGGAAATGAGATGTTAGCTGTTCTGTCTTGCTACTGCTGAGGAGAATTTTTTTAACAATCAGTTCATGTTATCTTTGGTTATTTTTATTGTTTTTAGTTGTAGTATGATCTAGTTTAGTAGGAAAATGAAGAAAAATAGAACCAAACAATAAAGCTGTTTTATTTAAACTTGTATCATTTCCCTGGCCAATTTAATGAAGCCCTGCTCTCTTGTAAGACTAAGGGTGATTGTTCCAAAAACGTGAAATTAAAAGAGGAAATTTTTTTGTCGGCAAAACATATTTAATACTTATCTTGGCTATGACCTGTTTTATTCACCCCAAACGTCCAAATTTATCTTGAAACGGGCCCACGAGTAAACAAGTCCCAAAAACCCCATTAGAGATAACCACCATTCGCCATTTCTCGGCGAACTGTTGTTGAAAGAGCAAATGATTATTTACGATTTTTCCCTTTAGTCTTTTTTCCCCGCGAAAATTTACGAAAATCAGAAGCCCTGATTAGAAGTGAGATGTTATTCTGGGTTTCATTCAACTGTTTCCCACAGAATTTATAATGATGATTTACAAAGTTTGGTCATGAATCAAGAACAGGGCCTAAATGGTTTTTATTTACTTAGGTTCTCCAAATGGCATGGTCACCCTGATTGGTCCCCATTAGAGTTGAAAAATATGGACTACTTTTGTATTATTTTGACCAGTGTGTGGGTTAAATCAGTGAACAGCATCTTTTGAGTTCTTTTTGTGAGTTTGTACATAAGGGATGTCACAAAGATTTCAAGTTGCCGGGTAAATGCAAGAAGTAGGTGAGGAATCAAACAAGTAAGGGGTTTCTTTTGGTTCTATTTTTTCTTTTATTTTCTTCCTTTGAAAATAGAAGGAACCAAACACATTCACTATTTAGCTTCTTGTGTTTCCCCAGTCCTTGAAATCTTAAGTGACATCCCTGGTACAAACACTAAAAGAACTTTGTCTGATTGGTCATACTTGTCTGGTTTGTTCACCAAAGTTGTGCACCATTCACTTGAACACAAAAATGGTCTGGTGATGGATGTAGCCAGGGGCTCTTTGAAAACTTTTTGTCACACTTTTTTTCCTCCTGACTGACTGACTGCCCCTGGATCACCGACGATGGTCATTAGCAAGAGCTAAATAAAAACTGTTTGTTTCAGGTTAATGATTTGCAAGAAAAATACCATGAATGTCTTGAGATGCTGATGGAAAACCAGGTGATTTAAATTGAGTTTGTTGTGGTTTTTCTTAATGGTGACAATAATATGCTTAAATCTGCAATAGCATATTGAGATATTTTTCTAAAATGTATTTTTTTTATTTATAGAGGGAAGTAAAAAAGTTGAACACAAAGATAGAGTAAGTTAATCATCAGGCTTTGGTTGTTCAAATGCTGGATAGCGCTATCCACTGGATAAATCTCTATCCAGTGAATAGTGCAATAATACTAATACTAATCCACTGGATAGAGATTTATGGGGTGGATAACGCTATCCAAAGTTTGAACAAGCCGGGCCTTGTACAATAAAATTTATGTTCAAAATTAAATCTATTTTTGCACAACTTAGATTCTAAAACTTTTCCCTGGTTGGTTTTTCAGGTCTGACATGGTACCGAGGAAAAGGTCACAGTTACCATATCACGTAAGTACAGAGTGACCCTAGGCACCTCAGAATTACTGTCTGCTAGCCTGGGAAAACTCAAGCGACCAGTCGGGCAAGCATGTTTTCATTCTGAGTTGTCTGACGGGCATGCAACATTTGACACGATAAAGTAAATGTTTGCTCTGGTCTAGTAAACTTCAGCAACAGCTTCCATAAAGAGCAAGTGTTTTTTAAAATTGGAAAGATTAAATGGATTGAATCAGGATCGAATTAGGATATACTCACTAATATTGGCTCAAAATTTATGTATGAAGTGTTGTTTAAAATGCTCAGGAACCAACTTTGGTCCTGGGGTCCTCCTCCTACTTGTCCCTCTGGGGGGATAGGTAGGATGAGGTTACTTTAGCTGATAAGCTGCAGTGGCGGATCGAGACCTTCAGATAAGGGGGGGCCCAGTCATCCAGACCCCGAGATAAGGAGGGGAGGGGGTGGTCTCAAAACAAAATTTCTTCAGCCCTTCCCTGGGCCCCTCGCCTTGATCCGCCACTGAGGAGGGACCAGGGGGGCTTGGTCTCAAAGTTAAAAGTCCCAAAGTGACTTTGGCCAATTTTCTCCTAACAGTATTGTACCATGTCAAGAATTAGGTTATGAGAGGCCCTAAAATGATCTACCACTGAGAAAATGCCTTGGTGCAAATTTTTCATTCATGAAGGGTTGGAGATCAGTTTTTTTGTAGCAGTTTGGGGTTAAAGGGTTAAACAATTATTTGTCATTTTTGTGTTTTATTCCTGTAGGATTCCCGCGATTCTATTGCCCTGGAAATTGAGGAAAGTGTCAAGAGAGATCTGACCACTCAGCAGGAGAAGAGGTACAATTATTAGTCCCAATAGTAACCAACTTCAATTTTCCAATTTGTCAAGAGATTAGGTTATGAGAATAAGTAAAAGATCACCTTAGAGAAAAAGCTTTGATCTTTTATCAGATTCTCTTAACTCATTCTTTAAAGAAATATATAGGGATCAGTTTGGAGAATTTCTGTGTGGATAGTGGGATTTAAAGGGTTACCATAGCACCCATTTATTTCTTATTGCTTTATTTGTTACTGCCTATTTTTGATCGGCCATTTTGAGACTGAGTAGCTGTGGTGCCGAATTGTACCTTGGGACTGTTTCTCACTCCTTTTTATTGGCTGTTACGAGGTTAAGCGGGGAACTGGGTCCAAATTCGGTCCCGACAACATGCTCAACCCTAGCCTGCTCCAGGCTCCGAGATGGTGGTGGAAAGTCGTTCAGTAATAAGAAATGCGAAAAACGCGCGGGGGCTGGGGAGAGACAGGCCAGCGCCCCTTTCCCTCAAAATGTCTTACAGCTTTGCCGTTTTAATACGTTCCCATTATAAAAGCCTGGCACAGGCAACTCAAATTCTCAATCAAAATGTCAATCAGCAGCCTATAGAAAAATCAATCAAGTATGTTTTTAAAACAATCTTTAGCCTTTTCTTTTTATTAGGGGGATGGAGAGGAAACGAGCGAAGTTGTAGCTCGGCAAGTCGCGAAATTTTTCCGACGTTTTTTGGAATGTTGGTGGCACAAACTTGCCCAACCGCTCCACCCCCTCCACCCCCTCCACCGTACAACACCATTTTTGTGGAGCCATAGCTTCGATAGGTTTAAACCAATTGCTCTCAAACTTGGATTCCGTACTGATCTTAAGGAGCTCTTTCCATCGGTATCGATGGATGTTTACGGTCATCTCGCCAACAAGAAGTGGACTCGTTGCCAACCAACTTGCCACCAAGAAGTCTCATCGCCTCCAAGTAATGTCTCTGCATTAATCAACGTGTTTACTCACCTAGGATTACTTACCTAGAATTTTTACTTTTTCGCTAAGCTTATTCGAATTTGATTAGAGTTATCACTTGGTAGCGAGGTGGTCGACGTTCGTGGCGACGTAGTTGGTGGCGAGATGACCAGCACCTCGATTGATTGTCACTAACTGGTTTATGAAAAAATTGAAAAAAAGTCAGGCAAGGGTCTAATGACAACCATTTCATTTTCTTTACAGAGAGCACACAGCGCGCGTTATGGAAACTGTCCGTGTGATTAATACTGGTAGTTCTGGGCGGAGAACCAGGAAAACCGGACTCCGTGCAAGTAAGAGCGGTGCCGGATTTCAGTTTGATCCTTCAGGTATCATGACTGGATCAGCGGAAAATGGTGGTGCTGTGGCCAACTCACAGGCTGGGAGCCCTGCGGCAGGTACTAACTTATATAACTGATACACTTCTCCCACGCTAGTCTGCGAGCAAGTTCCCTGGGGACGATGGACGAGAGAAGAATTGCGGTCGTTTTGCCCGACGGCGTTTGCCAGGACATTAGTCGATTCGCTCGATGACATACAACACTCTACAACATGGTGAACATACCTTTCGAGATGTTGTTTTAGTTACCCTTGGATTCCAAATGTGCAGTCACTGTCTTTCCATGCTTTTTCTCTTTTTTTCTGGCTTAAAGAATGACAAATACACTTCGGGCGAATCGACTTAGTCAGGGCGAACTGCTATCGGGCGAACCGACCTTCGGGCGAAACGACCTGATACCCGAGAGAATACGAGAGCTCTCCCCTTTTTTCTCTTCTGGTCCCGAAGCCAGTCAGAGAGCCTTCTCGCGCGCTTCTCGCGCGCTTCTCGCGGGTTTCTCGCTATCTTATCACAATAGCAAGTGAACATCGAGCTTGAAAACAATCCACTATGAAACATTGTGCTATCCAACGTGGGAAGTGATTTTGATTTGTTGATTTCACTGAAAGGATTGAAACCGGTAAGGTAAAACTGATTTGTATGTTTTTAATTTTTTTTTAACAGAAAGGAGGATATCTTACTCTGGGAGACGGTCGTTTCGAGCTCCAGAGAAGTTACAGATCGTCAAACCAATCAAAGGTGAGACAAGTTCACACTCATCATCTTGATTCACAATAACCGAGAGGCTTTGGCCATGTTGAGTTGGCGTGAGAGACTGGGTCGAGGTTGTGTTGAAATGTTGTATTGGACGATGAGCGAATACTGCCCCAGTTTCTTGCGCAACCTCGTTATAGCCAGTAGAGAGGACGTAATGACTCTCCTGTCTATGAAAAGAGCCATAGAGTTCCCCAAAACAGCCGTACAGTTCAGTTCGACAAAACACGAAAAGCAGGAACAGAAAGGTCAATTAACTTGACAGGTCTCATATATGACCAGCCCGTTTTACAATACAACTAAATTAAATACCAAGAACCATTTTGTTAGTAGACTCAAGGGGCAAACTCAATACAGCTCAACTGTGTTGCGTTTTTACAAAGCTAAGCAAATTTGAACTCTGTTTTAAACCCCGTGTGTAAACGTTAGTGAACTTTCCAGAGAAACAAGTCAGGAAAATCGAGGTCCGAAAAAATCGAAGTCCGGATAATCGAGGTCCGGCTGATCAAGGCCATGAAAATCGAAATTAATCGAGGTCCGGGTAAAAGAGGTGTGGATAATCGAGGTCCGACTGTACGTATTTTTGGGGTCTTAATATTCCATTCTTCTGACAGGATCAGTTACTTTGCATCAGTGGAAGAAACTAGCCAATCCGACTTTGAATCTCGCCGAGGAACGTCCTGGGGTGCACGTTAAAGGTCAGGACCGGGAAATGGGGACCGGAGAGCCAAGGGAGCAGACTGACTTAAGTGATATGGACCCTGATGATCTTGAGTACGAGGAAGATGCGTCTGTACACATGGGCAGTGTTCGGACTTTAGAGTCTGCTTCAGAGGCTACCAGCCATACGGGAACAAACGAAGGTGATGACCATGATGATGATGATGACGATGATGATGGGCCAATTCAAATGCGAATTAGCAGGAATCAAGATAAAGGAACTCCAGTTTCAAAGGCTGAGAAAGGAGCTAGCGTGAAAAGACCTTCCCCTGTGACCCCTCCTCAAAACATGGGCCTGATGCCACTGGTCAGCGGTCATGGACTCCAGAGGACCGTCGATAGCGGGGGCATCTTAGCGCATCTTCTAAGCGGTCCCTCGACTTCATCCCCTACTACGTCATCTGTGGGGCAGGTACTTGCTGAGGTCTTAAACAAGGCCAGCAAGGAAGCGTCTGAAAAGGAGCCTACACGCGCTGCATCTCTCCGGAACCTGGCAAAGTACTTCAGTGATAAAGAGCGTAGTACTAACCCCACCCCGGTGAAAACCAAAACCCCAGCTTCTTCTCCTGTGATGCAAATGCCGAAGACTAGTTCCCCAGGGGTGGAATACTGAGTAAGGTTCTTGCGTCAAGTTCATTGTCTGCGAATTTGACTTTTCCTTCACCGATTACAACTACTGCCAAAAGCACCGGGTTACCCACAACGACGACTACCAGTACGTCGACTTCTCCAAGTATCCTTACACGAGGTACCCTAGTCAGGAATTCTAGTGGTAGTAACTTACTGAGTTTGGCTCAGGGGTCCTTGGCGGATGATACGTCAGGTAAGCGTCATAGTCTGGACTCTGCAAAATTGCTTAGGACCACTTCCGGTGCACTAGACTCACCACCAGACTTTTCTCAGTTGAATTTTCCAACTCTTCGTCGACGTGCCAGCAGCGGCGATTTGCAAGAAACAGCGTCAGGTTCCAGCAGTTTAGATGACTTTAGTGGCAACGGTTCAGGGATGAGATTGTACAGGAGCTCTAGCTTTGGAAACATCAAGGATCTTAGCAACGAGAACCTGGCAGGTCCATCAAGGGACGTTTCAGAGGGTGGCTTTTTCGGTCGTCTGAGGCGCACCCCGAGTATAGGGAGCCTTACAAATCTGGTGCAAAGGAGCAATTTAACCGCTACCTTACCAGGTACACTTGGGCTCCGCTCAACAAGTTTGGAATCACTTCCGGTTTTTAAACCTGGAGAATCACCCCCATCACCTTCAAAGTTTGACCAAGATGGAACAAGTTTCTTTGGTCGCGGTCTCTCTACCAATAACGCTCCTTCGGCCAGTGTGGACACCTTAGCTGGGGCCTCTGGTAAGAGTGGCTTCGGAATAGGGACGCGCTTGAGTGGCTTGGCTGGGCTCCGAGGATTTTGGAGCCAGGGAGGGAGTAAAAGTTTGGAGATGCCTTCTCCGCCTATGGAATCACTCCCGCTACAACCCAAGAGCGAAGAACGACTAGAAAAAATCAACAGTGCGTTTGCGTTTGAGGACTTCGGTGGACTTGGTTTAATGTCTTTCTTTGGACGAAAGTCTGGCGATAATAGATAACTAATTCAACTTTGGAAGGACGGAATAACATTTTGTATTGTCATTCTTGTAAAAAAAATATTGTGAATGTTTTGACAATGGTGGAATTTCCATTAGCTGTTCAAGCTATTTTATCGGTACTCCACTGAAATACTTGAAGACTCTTAATCGAAATTGTGACTTGAAAAACGAGAAGGGAACTGGGGCCGGAATGCGTCCTGCAAGTGTTTCTGGGATGGTTACTGGGGACGCGCCAATTGTGCCAATTTTTGCCTTTCCTTAGTAACAATCCCAGAAGTCTTTGCAAAATTTACTCGGCCCAGTTCCCTTAGAAAACATCAGGAATGAAAAACGATCCCTGACCGGAGGTAACCAGGTAGTGGTTTAGGATCAATTTAGGGTTCTGGAAACTGCCCACCTACCCCTCCCCTAAGCCAACATTTTGCCCTAAATGAGAAGTAAGTGATGTTGGCTTAAGGGAGGGGTAGGTGGGCAGTTTTCCAGAAACCTAAATTCATCAGTGATTTACAAGCGCGGCCGAGGAGCTGCCTTGAATCAAATGCATACTCACATCCGTTCACTCGTCCACGCTTCCGCTCCTTATTACGTGAGCGATATAAAATATTGAACCGTGTTGCCGTCCAGAATAGCCTGAATTTCAGTCGCCTCCTCCGCTTGATAAGTCATTCGTTGAGAGATGCTCTCTGAAATTCAGGCTTCTGTCCAAAATTGTCGTGTAAATAGAAATTAAACTGGCCTCTTGCCTTTCACGGGGTCACCTGTCTTTCCTTTCGTTTTGAGCGAGAGAGAGAAAGAGACGGGGGAGGGGCTGCAACTAAATAACATCCACCTACGGTAGGTCGGACTCCTTATAAAGGGTATATGAAGCATCATTCTCGTCGTTTCTGAACCTTGATAACTAAACTTCACTGCAATCTAATGCTGCATTGTGTAGGCGTCGTAGGGTGTCTGTTACTTTGAGTTAAGCCTGATTTAGCAACAGAACGAGAACGTCAGTTGACGACGGCGCGCGCAAATCTTGACTAATGGCGTCAACGGCAGAGCGGCAAATTGGGCACCGGAAGTCGAGTTTAGTCCTTTCCGCGCGGTTTCCCGTCGTCAAATGACGTTCCCGTTTTGTTGCAAAATCAGGCTTTTATCAAGAGGGAGACGGGAACGGGAAGAAGAGAGACCCTGGAAACGAGGCTGCCCGTGTCCATGGAGTAGCCTTTCTTCAGTATTGCGTGACTGCCCAAATATGGGCAGCATAAGAGTTAAGGTCACGCTCAGCTGACTTTTTTCTTTGCGTCACTGAATGAAGCGTTGGGTTATTTAAAAATGATAGTTTCTTACTTCGAAGTTGGTATCTAATGTTAAAATCGAAGGAGATAAATCTTAAGTATTTAAAATTTAGTGGGTATATTTTGTTATAACTATATTGAAAAATATATATATCAGTGCGGATACCAGAACCATATTTTTTATAGGATTTATGTTTTTCATCGTAGAAGGGTTATTTCCTTAAATCCAAATTACATTGTACAAATTCTTGGACAGAGAGAATTCGGTTACATTCTGGTTCAACGTTTCGATGCACAGCTTCCCGCGACTTTTAACGCGTGCAGTTATGTCACATTTTAGTCAGGTCATTGCTTTGTTAACTTGTCTCCTAGTCCTGGTGCCCAGACTCCAGAGGCCAAAACTACCCTGCATCACTAGGCACGAAAGTTAAGTTTGGTAAAGTAACAAAACAAGTAATAAATTAAATGCTGCTTGTGAGGTTCATATTTACTTGTGAATTTTTTACAGAGAAGCAAATTTCTGAGCCTTGTTATTCCGTGTAATACGTGATATGGGCTTATTATTTGAAACTGCGGCATGAACTATAAGTAAGTGAATGTGTAATCCATGCCAGAATTGAAATATGGAACAAAAACTAACTACTAGACTTTTTGTTTTGGATGAAATTGTAAATAGCTAAATACTGTATAAATAAACCTCTCTTTGTCCCAAGCAAGTGGTATTATTATCTTTCTGAAAGAGACCGCCATAAACAGGGCTGTCTATGAGCAACTGTCATGCATTGTAGTGTTAAAATATATGCATACTGTGTTTGTTAAGCTACATACAAACGGACGCAACAACCTCCAACAATGTTGGGCGTTGCTGGCCAACAATGTTGCGTCCGGGTGTTTGCACGGGGCTTTAGATATAAAGCAACCACTGACTCGTCCCCAGTCTTCTCTATCTGGATCGCACGCGTGTCCCGAGAGAGCGCAAAAGAGTGATGGGAAGGAGGAAAACAAAAGGGAGAAAGTCTCTCTTCTTTCCTACTTCCCAGTACCCCTCGCACTCCTCTTGAGTGCGCCTCTCTCATTAATATTAATAGCAGACTGAGAGACGACTGGGGACGAGTCAGAAGCAACCACACTCTAATGCGTGCTCCGCCAGTAAGCGATCACCCCCTGGCTTGACGAGACTAGCAATGTGCTTTCCCCCTCCCACTAATTCTTAAATTATATGGATATCTTTCTCTCTCTTTTAAACTTTCTGTTAAACTACACTTGCTTCAATAGGTCATTTCCGAGTTGTCTTAAGGCTCTGTTTCAAAGCGAGGCTAATTGCAAAGCAGTTGAGATGAAAATCATTTTTATTCTTATGCAAATCAAACTCTTTAGATTTTGAACGTAACCTCGTTTTGAAGTGAGAGTTGTAGGGACTCTAAACTGGCCTATTGCTGGCTTGTTTTTGACGTCATCAAATTTTAAAATACAAATTTCCTGTTTCTTTAAAGTTATTTTTTTATCAGACTTTAGAACTACTCAGGATTATTTATCTCTTCAAAAATTTTCAGTTTCATTATTTTGCAAACCTTGTACTTTAGGAGACGATTTATACGCTGGCTCTCTTAAACTTTCGACTGGGTACGTTCCAACCTCGTCCCCAGGGCGCTTTTCCCTGGCTTTAGGCGCCCCACCCATTTTTTAAGGGAAAAGCTCTGGGGACGAGGTTGGGTACGTTCTACCCATTGTTATTCACACAGTGAACCGGTGATACCACGATTGAGAATCAGTGAGTATTTAATAAGACAAGACTTATCTATTTACAACATATCAGCCACACTATTCCTGTCAAGAACAGATTTATGATAAAGTCAAAGCAAAATCGTTTCTTGCGGGACAAAGCGAGTCATCCCAAGCGGGCAAGATCGGGAACTATCCTGCTCGCTCGGGTAGCCAATCAGAATTAAGGATTCGCCTCGTCTTGCTCGTTTGTAACCTGCATTGCAGCCGGACTTGTCACTCGAGACTCGATATTTTGACTGTCTGCGACTGAGACTAGCTTGTTCGCGGATTATAATAAAAACACAGTAACTTGAAATTACAAAATATTAAGGCATTTTTCTGCATTAAGCATTTATACAAAGGGCTACACCACAGGGCTTGCCAAAAAATAGAAATCATTTTTTCAATCGCCTTAGGTAAGCTTGTATCGGTGAAGACCTTTCATCCCTATCCAACCTAGCGGTAAATACCTACATCCCTTTCGTTAAATATATAATGTACAGTACAAAGCATTTTCGATGGGTGTAGTGTTCATGTAAAACTAATTTACTAGCTACATCTGCAACGTGTTCAAGTCGGTTTCAGTACGACATCTACCGCCTTGTCAGGGGACTTGGGACATGGAGGACTTTCTTTCAGGTGAGTGACTAAATAAATCAATTAAACAGTTTTACACTAAAGCAGGGAATAAATTGAAGTGAGTTCCATAATCAGTTAAAAGTTGAACACGGAGCTCCAACTTGTAACCGTCCTTCTCCATTTCTTTGTTACACTGTCAACTGGATTCACTGGTTCATACCATCAGGGCCAAGCTATAGAAATAATCGAGTAAAGAAAAGTAATTATTATTATTAGTAATTATTTAATTTTTTAAATTGGTCTTTTAATGAGTTGTTAGATTACAGTGTACACCCACTGCCCGTTGCCCGGGTGATATGGCTGTGCGCATGCGTAATGTACCGGCCTTTTCGCGGAGTTAGTAGTGTCTGCTTCCTTGCTGTTACAATTTTGTACTCTTTTCGCTGAGCAAAAGGATCGCGGCCTCTGGGAACGAGATGGTTCTTTTCTGGTAACATTGATTAAGTCATGTGCGCATGAGCATTTGGTTGCCAAGCAGAGAAAACTACGTAACAAGTCGCAGGAAGCAGCCTCACCAGCCCGTGTAACGCAAGAAACTTTCTGCAACCGTCACGGAAACTTGAGTAAATTGAAGATTTGCGGTAGTCAAACGTTTCTCACATTCCGAATTAATTTTTTGCTGACAAATTCAGGAGAAATAACTTACCAAATACTAAGAAAAAGAGTGGACAAAACAAGCCAGAAATGAAGAAACAATCCTGTAAAATAAACAACACATATATTTAGTGAAATATATATAAAAAAGTACGTTTTCTTAAATTTTATCTCTACTGCAAATGAATTCTTTGACTTAGGTGCGCTATGGAAAACTTGCGAAAAATCAACCAGGCTCGGCATTATGAACGCCATTTCTCTTGCAAAGGAGATCTTGTTTATTTGACCGAAATATGATTTTTTGGTGAATATTTTTTTCGCTTGGTCACCTTTTCAGAGGAATGAAACGGTTAAGCTACAATTACTCACCGGCCGCTGAATCAGGGGGACATACAGTGTCACAATCCTGTAGCACTTTATCGAACCCCCCGACAATCTGACTGTAGTTTCTCTTGACATCATCACAGACATAATGTTTATCCCGTAGCACCACATAGTCGCATTTTGTGGCGTTGAAGTTTGCTGCATTGCAGTCTTCATCGCTGCCGGTTCCTTTTATTTTGCATTGCAATGTAACAGTTACAGTGCCACCGATCCCACTGCAGGACTCGCTGCAATTTGCGGATGCCAACGTTGTTATGGAATCTGTGCTGAAGGTAACTGTTGACGGATTAAAATGATACATGAGGTCCCGTGTGGACTACTCAACAAAGTTTTATACGGAAAGCTTCCCCCCCCTCGGGTAAGCCATACAGGTATGTGCCGCCCCAAAGGGACGGGTTTTTGCGCCGTTTTGGTGTGAAAACGAGTATAGACTTTGACCATTTTGGTCTGGAATCAGGTCTGATTTTCAAGGGAACTACGGGAATGTACGAACGTATTTATTTTTTTCAATTCCAAATGAGTAAGAAAGAAAGGGAAATATGCGAATTCGAAATGGATTTTAAGAAATCTTTTTTGTTTCTGTTTTAATCTAAGAAGTGATGACATAATTTCTTAAAGGCCAGGTCTGAGAATGGGTATGGATTTTAGAGGCCAGGTCTGAAAACGGGTGTGCAAAATGACATTTTTTGGTCTGAAATAGGGTCAGGATTTGGAGAACTGGGCGGAACTTCTATGGTCTATAAGAGTGTAGGCCATGGGAAGTTGTGGTCGATTTGTTTTTTACTATAACATATATTTTTTTACGAAAAACCAAAAACGAAACAAGCGGTACTGCGTGACATGTTACGTCATTTCCATGGTCTATACTCTCATAGACCATAGCTCTCGACCGATCAGCGCGCGAGGATTCGCTCAGTTATTGTAAAAAGCATTTTGGTTATAGATAAAGCACCAAGTTATGACTATAACACAGATTTGACCTAAAACAGCAATAACCTGAGGGCCCCTTAAAACTCAGATCGATATTTACCATTTACAATGGGCATAGCTGAAGTTGCTAATGCTGATGTTGATGCTGACGTTGATGCTGATTCTGATGTCGACAACGGTGACGACGAATTAGAAGCAGATCCTTGGTAGATCCAATGAATTAACAGAAGAAGACATACCACTCGATAAGCTGCCATCATCTTTTCATAGTAGAAAGATAATACAAAACAGAGTTAATACCTAGAGTAATCTCATATTCTATAATAAACAACATATTTTTCGTGTTTCAAGGGGTTTAAAAATACGTCGGCAGACACAATTTAAATTAATTGCAAAAAGAAGAGTAAAAAGAAACAAATTTCATTTGACAAAAAGAACAGAATAGCATGATGTAAAAGAGGTTACTTAGGAAAATTCTTCATCAAGGATGCAAAAAATATAGCTGATTCCTTCAAAATTCCGGCACTGCGCACTTATCACTGTGGTGTGTAATTTTTGCCGCAGAATTAACACGTCACTGAACAGCACCACAGAAACGTATTGCTCAGTGGCATTAATTTCATTTGAGGTTCACTTCATTAGTTTTAAACAACAGAATGAAGCGCAAGACACACCCTGTACTAAAATTATAGACGACACCACTGGTAAGTACTGTTCAGTAGCTTTCATTTGAATGGTCACACCATAGGATTTCATCCACGGACTCCAAAGTTAGAACCACCTTGTGCAGCATTAAAAAAGTACCTCAGGAAAGTACTGCTTGGCAGCTTTCATTTGAACAGAGAAATGCATCTTCGAAAAATCGAACCACCTGGTAAATTGTTAGAACTGACCTAAATTGCTTGATTTGTGTACAGTCTGTGCGTCCATTTAAAACTTTGACAGCAAGTGCACATTTCAATCTTTTCAATTGAATTGAAGAAAATAGGAGTGGAGGACGTAACTTTATCTTTGAAGACAGGTGGTTCTTTGATATATTTTTTAAGTATTACCACGCTAGTTACTGTGAATGTCTGAAAAAGTAATGTAAAAGATGAAGTTGTCCGCATTAAACAAGAAACTCAATCAAGGCAACAAAGTACAGAAGAAAGTACAGATTTCCACTAAAAACAGGCTAGAAATGAAGGCTGACGGATTAATGCAGTCGTAGCTGGCATATAACCAACGAGAACTAGAACTTGAAAGTGTCAAGAAATGCTAAATTTCCTGTTTTATGTTAAGCCGTACGTAGCATTTGTAGTTCTTAATTAAGGTTATTTCTATCTTTTGAAGAGGTAAACTGGTTTATTCTTTATTTATTATGGCTATACGTATGCGTGTTTGCTCCGCAGTTTGGTTTCCATGGTTACACACCTCGATTCAGCAAAGACATGATCGTTGCGACAGACTCGTGGCGGAACACTTGTCACTCATTTTTGGAAGTTCAGTGAATCATGTTTCAGGGAACTAGTTTTAAATCCATTCTATTGACTAGGGCCAAAAATTAAGGTGTTTAAATAATTCATACGATCACAGTTTTGCATAACGTAGTATTCTCAAATACACCTTTTCCGCTATTTAGTTTTAGTTTGAAGGGAAGAAAGTAGGACGGCTTTGAAATCCGAAAAACATGCTGTGCTTCTAGTGTTTATACCTTAAAAAAGACTTTAATGTACCAGTAGCTCGTTCGTTAATATATTGGAGATACATATTACAAAAGAACATAAAACTGAAATAAAGAGCTTCTATGTGCTGCGTCCACCAAATGCAATTTTTTATTTCACAAACGTTATTGCCAAAAAATAAGAAACTAATGCGTAGTAAACTACTATTGGAAAATACAAAGCGTGCACACAAAGTGAACAAAACAAAGGAGCACTCAGCTAGCATTGATGGATGTAAGCATAACATAGTATTGATTACAGCTGCTAACAATGAAAACTTGTTATCACAGAAGTTGTAGAAACAACTGAAAGTCAGTTATTGATGTAATCTAAGATAGACAAGGAGCTCTTGAACCAGAGCTGAGTCACGTAATGTTCTTTTATGTGCGATAGCAACATATTTGCCACCCAGGGCAAAGCAAATCATAATGAAACAATGGCTGAAGTACGCTCTAATTAGTTAACTCTATTTTACGAGTAAAATGTCCACAAAGCCTCAGATCTTTTTTAATGGCGGTCTTTGCCGAATTGCGAAGGGCCTTCTTAAACAAATCATGCGCACTTCAATTTCAGAAAAGCGAATATTCTAGGCAGTTTTCTCTGCCCTACTACACACTTTCAGATTTTTTCTCGGAAGGCCGTTATTGAAAGCAATCAAATATTTAATAACTTTATTTGGAGACCCTCTTAAAACTTTGCGTCGTTAACGTTAAAAGAGTCGCGCCGCAGAATTTCGTAAACAAGGAAGTTTATCTAACGCAATTCGTATTGATTTAAGTGACATTTTAGTCCACGTATGCCATCCCCGTGGCCTGTATTTATGATTGAATTTTTCTATTTTAGAATAATATTTTACAAGCAATTAAATATCCCGGTAGAAAAAAAGATCAGCTCGGTTCATCTAGTTGGCAATTTAATTGTTGGTAAAATATTTGATGTAGAGAGGTACTAAAATGACCGAAAAGTTCACCTGTGAAGTACATGAGACTGTTATCTTCGACGGAAAACTAGAAATAGTTCACGAGCTGTAATTTTAATCAAATTATGAAGGGAAATGTTAGGCTATGACGACCACAAAACCACATTTTCTAGCTTTGATTGGGAATATATGATTCTCTTTCAAAACGTTGAAAGTTGACCCTTTCTAGAGGGGTAAAAAGTAACATCAAATAGTCTGGTTCTCTTACCTTGATGTGGCTTGGCTTTTAAGATCGAAAATGGAAGGAAAAGGCCTCTTTGACCACACAAATCTAGTTCGTGTTGATCATGTGAGAATCAGTAATTTCTGAGACAATATATTTGAAAGAGGACATTACAAAGGTCGCTCTCATTGGGGTATCCATGGCAATCGAGGCTAAAACATTACACTTGGTGTTTTTTTGTTTGCAGTATTTGTCGGCTACCGTAGCAAAACCCCTGATAACATTGGTTGTCTTTACACTAGGCTGTTAAGTAAGACTTAAGAGCTGCTAAGTTTTACTTAACCAAAAATTCGTGTGTGAAGGCCTAAGTAAAATCTCAAGTAACTTTGCTTTGCATCTCATTAAAATCGGAAAGTTGAAACGATTCACGAAAGTTTCAAGCGACTTGAAAACCATCCTTATGACCGACTTAGCTGACTTGCGGTTTCTTGAGCTTTGAGACAGGCGAGACATGTCAATCAATCTTACAATCAAACCAGGTCAAGCGTTCCCGTTGCTAGCAAACTAATGAATTCATTAATGGAAAAATGATTTCGTTTGTTGATTCAATAATCCATTCATAAAATTAAAGGGGAGATTCTCTTACTTTGTCTATAAGGAGATGCGCTGCTGAACAAGGTATGGTTTCTGGGTCTTTCGTATACAATTTCAGGTCGCTATCATGCATTTTTATCAACTGACATGTCCTCTGAAAGCTTTACCCAAGTTCAGAGCAAACTATTCAGGAACCTCTTATTTTTCAGGTAGGTCCTATTTTAAACCAGTCCTTCGGATGCACTTACACCCTTATAAACGATCCAATCTACCCACAAACTCTTTGGCTTTCGGCTTTGGAAGGGTACTCTATTATGGCCTATACGGGTAGTTTCCGCCAAAGGGGTGCCTTTTTCAGGCTCAACGTATATAAACGGTAGCAGTTGCAGTACACGAAAGGGGGAAGGAATTTGTCATTGCGGTCTGTGAAAGGATCTGAAAGGGCTTATAGGCGCATTTTATGGCTGTGAAAAGGACGCGAAAACTTTCTGGTTTAGTGATTCTGAATCATATTTAAAAGACGGGGAATTTACAACAGCTAAAAGAGATACAGTGATCTAAACTAGAATGTGAAAAGGGCTGAGCCGTGAAAGGGGTACCTTTTGTATTAAAAATGGTATATAAAAAGGTGACGGGTTGGGCCTCGGAGCGTAGCCTCTCCGGCTCCGTACAAAACTTTTATGGAGTGCCCCCACCCACCTCCCTTCTATTTTGTACTACTTTTTACTTGTATAGTTGAGATGAATCTCAAGTAAAAATTGGCGTCTTATTGATTTTTATTACGGCATTCTCCATCTATACACGTTGTTCTGATCAGCTTTGGAGTAGTCTTCCGACTTATCGTTTTTGCGTCCTCTCTCCCGAGAGACCAGCCTAAAATAATTACCGTCAGGAACTTCAACAAATTCAACGAACGGAACTTTCAAAGTGACATTGCCCGTGCGCCTTTTCAAGTCTGCGAAGTTTTTGATGATCCCACTGATGTTTATTACGCATGGAACCTGCTCTTCACAGAATTGTGCAACGAACACGCACCACTCAAACAAATTAAAGTACGAAGTAACAGCCTGCCTTGGATAATAAAGGAAATCAGAATAACTATGAATCAAAGATACAAGACTCTGAAAAGGGCGCGTCAGCTAAATGATCCGCTGCTATGGGATGTCTATATAAGACTTAGAAATAAAGTATCAACAATGACGAAAAAAGCCAAAGCCGATTACTACTCCAATCTATTCGATAAAGTAAAATCCGCTGCTGCTTACTGGAGACTACTGAAAAAGACACCAGGAACAACAAAAGTAAACAGACAAGCCCACCAATGAAAGAAAGACGATGGAACCCTTACAACAGATGACACTGAAAAGGCAACTATGGTAAACCGGATTATTTCTGCACAATTGCTGAAAAATTGATTGGCCCCACGGATGAAATTCAGCCATTACACGCTCATAGCCGTGAGAATGTGGATATGCCGATTATGACCAGCATCACGATCAGTCAGAAGGAAATCGAGGAAAAGATCTGTAAGTTAACAGTGAAGAAAGCCACGGGGCCAGATGGCGTATCTGCGCGTCTTTTAAAGTACGCAGGTATGTCTATTGCCCCATCTCGCACAAAGTGTTGAAGCCTGCAAGCCACCAGACCTGTGGAAAATAGCTAGAGTCAGTGCAGCGTTCAAAAAAGGACGGGAGGAAGACAGAACATGTTACAGACCACTGTCTATGCTTAGAATACCAAGTAAATTAATGGGATCCTGCGTCGCAAGTAATATCACTAGCCTCGCACGTGGTTACACAAAATTTACTTCATAACAGACCA